TCTCTTGCGTTGATGCACCCGCGCGCAGCTTCCAGGACCTCATGCATACAGTAGTGGCGGAACAGTCAGGCAGTCACCTCCAGGAAAACAGAAAACACATAATGGATGGCTAGCAGTGGTATCAGTCCGAACTGGATGGCATATATGTACCAACGAAATGGATGCTATATATGGCATCTAAGATCATTTGATATAATTAGTATATAAGTGGCTGAAATGGATTTAATGCAAGTAACGCAAGTCACAAGGGGGAGATTGAAATGTGGAGCAGATCACCAAGAGCTGAACCCATCCTTTGCGCCCTCCCCGCCGCTACATTGAGTTACTTCAAGTAATCTTTCTCAGCCCCTGCATGGTTGATGCAAGTCCATTGCAAAAAATATACGCAAACCCTCCCAGCATCTCCCAGCTACAGTATATATTAATAATCCTTGAGTGAAACTGCGAATTTGGACAAACCCGATGTTTCGCCTCATTTATTTTGCCAACCCTCTACAAAACAGCAAAAGACATGAAAAGTTCACTCACTTTATTCACATCATTTCACTCACTTTATTCGTAAATCAATGGCTCGCTAATGCCGCGAATGACTTATCCCACCACTCACCACCTCCTCCCCCGGTGGTTCCAGGCACTTCTTCATGGCCATGAACAGCAACACGGTGATGAACAGGGATCCCGTGCCACTCAGCAGTCGCCAAGTGCGAGTGCGCAGCTCGGGGATCAAGCCCTGGCAAGGCGAAGTGATAGCAAGAAATACTCGATCATAGAAAAGGCTGTTGATCAAAAGCGTTGCTCTCCCTTAAACTAACATAGACCCTGCCAAACAGGACCTAGGAGGTTTGAAGACTACGCTCCACCCAAAATCGGTGATGTTCAAAGTTCAAGGTCTATGTCAATTGAAGGGATGATAAGCGGAGCGGTTTGGCAAAAAATCATCCTCTCTGTGAGGCACATGGATGTCCTGATCACATCTGTGCCAGCTACCATAGCTACAGTAACCACCCAAGGATCCAATCAATCCAAGCTGCAAACTGCACGTGCCTCACATTCTTTTGCAGCATGGGCGACTGCGGCGATGCTGGCCGAGCAGGGAGTCCATTGACTCGATCCAGGCATCCGTTCAAAGCTCGTGCCAGGTGACAAAGATGGGCAAATCATTCCAACATATTCCAACCATATCCATCATATTCCATGAACAGCCGTGTCCAACCTGCTTCGCAGCTATTTTGCATGGAAGAAAACTTTCAATAAAAACATTACAAGTATTACTACCTTGCGAACCACATTCCCCTGTCCTAAGCCACGGCATGAGCACAAGTTCAGACACTGTTGCCACCGCAGGATCGGATGCACTGAATTAGCGTCTACTAGCCGCTGCATCTAGGGCTGTCCGGCTGTCCTTGCAAAGGTGTAAACCAACTGTTGTTCTCAAATTTGGTGCTCCCAAACAAACCGTACACCCAACGAACCTCTCTACTGCAATTTGCATTGCTTGTGACACTCATATACACTTATATACACTTATATACACTTATATACACTTATATACACTTATGTGACCAATAATATCTTGGTGGCCTATTTGGAGATATCACATAAGATCACTACGTCAGACGTGGCAGTTTCAATGTACAGTACATGTACTGTACACTGTACAATGTGTATAAACAAAATTATTTCATTGACGAGTTTCTTAGGGCTGCCTTTCTGTGATGATAGATAAGGACTCAGCGAGCGCAATGTCTGAAGTTGCAAGAACATGCAAGAACAGCATCAGCTGCGCATCAAGGACTGATGCATCTTTCCGGCAATGGCTAAGAGAAAACATCAAAGATACAACGTATGATACAACATTGATGCAATGCGTTAATGGGATATCAAACAACCCTTTCGTTCTCCATTTCACACTCATAGCCTGGGAGGACCAGTCACGCCTGTTGAAACGAGCTAAAGCTGCAGATAGGGCATGCTGATCATTCAGCTAGTGCAATGAGAGACGTCTGAGGGAACATGACGTTCTGCACATTCACCGCTGAAATGATCAAATCCCTACCCACTGCAGCTGTGGTTGGAGGCGGTTGCTACGTCGATATCAGTGCATGACGGCATGTGTCAATGTAGCCACCGCTGGTTCAAATCAAGTTACATTCGTGCGGGTCAGTAGCATGAACCCAATGTCTCCAACAAACTGCCTCATTATCTTTTGTAACGCAGGCGACTTCAGAGATGCTTATCTAAAAAATCCATGTCAATAGTTCCCTGGACTCAGGCATCGCTTCAAAACTTATGCTGTGTGAAGGAAGTCTTGAGGCGCTCAAGGATTGAGCAGAACTTATTTGAAAAAAACGGAAGCACACAGCCCGAGCACAAGTTCAGACACTGTTGCCACCGCAGGATCGGATGCACTGAATTAGCGTCTACTAGCCGCTGCATCTAGGGCTGTCCGGCTGTCCTTGCAAAGGTGTAAACCAACTGTTGTTCTCAAATTTGGTGCTCCCAAACAAACCGTACACCCAACGAACCTCTCTACTGCAATGATGCATTGCTTGTGACACTTATATACACTTATGTGACCCAACAATATCTTGGTGCCCTATTTGGAGAGATCACATAAGATCACTACGTCAGACGTGGCAGTTTCAATGTACAGTACATGTACTGTACACTGTACAATGTGTATAAACAAAATTATTTCATTGACGAATTTCTTAGGGCTGCCTTTCTGTGATGATAGATAAGGACTCAGCGAGCGCAATGTCTGAAGTTGCAAGAACATGCAAGAACAGCATCAGCTGCGCATCAAGGACTGATGCATCTCTCCGGCAATGGCTAAGAGAAAATATCAAAGATACAACGTATGATACAACATTGATGCAATGCGTTAATGGGATATCAAACAACATCAAACAACCCTTTCGTTCTCCATTTCACACTCATAGCCCGGGAGGACCAGTCACGCCTGTCGAAACGAGCTAAAGCTGCAGATAGGGAGGCGTGCTGATCATTCAGCTAGTGCAATGAGAGACGTCTGAGGGAACATGACGTTCTGCACATTCACCGCTGAAATGATCAAATCCCTACCCACTGCAGCTGTGGTTGGAGGCGGTTGCTACGTCGATATCAGTGCATGACGGCATGTGTCAATGTAGCCACCGCTGGTTCAAATCAAGTTACATTCGTGCGGGTCAGTAGCATGAACCCAATGTCTCCAACAAACTGCCTCATTATCTTTTGTAACGCAGGCGACTTCAGAGATGCTTATCTAAAAAATCCATGTCAATAGTTCCCTGGACTCAGGCATCGCTTCAAAACTTATGCTGTGTGAAGGAAGTCTTGAGGCGCTCAAGGATTGAGCAGAACTTATTTGAAAAAAACGGAAGCACACAGCCCGAGCACAAGTTCAGTCACTGTTGCCACCGCAGGATCGGATGCACTGAATTAGCGTCTACTAGCCGCTGCATCTAGGGCTGTCCGGCTGTCCTTGCAAAGGTGTAAACCAACTGTTGTTCTCAAATTTGGCGCTCCCAAACAAACCGTACACCCAACGAACCTCTCTACTGCAATGATGCATTGCTTGTGACACTTATATACACTTATGTGACCCAACAATATCTTGGTGCCCTATTTGGAGAGATCACATAAGATCACTACGTCAGACGTGGCAGTTTCAATGTACAGTACATGTACTGTACACTGTACAATGTGTATAAACAAAATTATTTCATTGACGAATTTCTTAGGGCTGCCTTTCTGTGATGATAGATAAGGACTCAGCGAGCGCAATGTCTGAAGTTGCAAGAACATGCAAGAACAGCATCAGCTGCGCATCAAGGACTGATGCATCTCTCCGGCAATGGCTAAGAGAAAATATCAAAGATACAACGTATGATACAACATTGATGCAATGCGTTAATGGGATATCAAACAACATCAAACAACCCTTTCGTTCTCCATTTCACACCCATAGCCCGGGAGGACCAGTCACGCCTGTCGAAACGAGCTAAAGCTGCAGATAGGGAGGCGTGCTGATCATTCAGCTAGTGCAATGAGAGACGTCTGAGGGAACATGACGTTCTGCACATTCACCGCTGAAATGATCAAATCCCTACCCACTGCAGCAGTGATTGGAGGTGTACATGAGCGGCCACACTTGATCAAACTATTGACAAATATATCAATATCAATAAAGAATTTGATTTGCAGCCTCATGCAACCACTTCACCATGGTAGACCCCTCTGTCACACCCCTGTTTTTAGCAAACTCCAACATTTCAGCATCAGGCGCTTTGTGGTCGGGCTATCTCGTCACCTTCATGCTGAAGCCCCTCGTCGAAATGGAAAGGTCCCAAAGGGCCAAAGGATCCGACAGTTCCAACAGCTTCTGCATGGGGACGGCGAGCACCCAAGGTCGCAACTCCAAAAAAAGGAGCCTGGAATGTCTCGACGGGCTCGTCGGGGAAGAAACCCAACTCTATGACCTGCAGATTCGGTGGATTGCAGCCAACATACATCCGAAAACACCATTGAACACGAACTCAAAAGTTACCTGTCACAAGTGAAACAAATAACATGCCCTTCCTCCAGCTTGGGGAACTAGTTCTTGGTGCAAAAGCGTTCGTGCAGCTTCCAGCACTGGGCTTGAGGAAGAAGCCATCGAAACCAAACAGTGTAAGCAAAATCAAGCAAACAATGCAAGCAAAAGGAAACTCACCAATTCCGTCCATCTAAATCCTAAGCAACTTTGAAACAAACGGAGAAATAAAAGGAGTTTCATCCTGGTTGCACACGTCAAACAAATTCAGAGTTCCAGAACCCCAGCTACACCACATCTGTAAGCGCATGCAAGCATCAGAGATGATTTCACTAGACTCACTATGTAGACTTGCAACATGATCGACCTTAGACCACAACTCTGTTGCTGGCACAACATTCCACTGCACCAAGTCGGTCCTGCCTCTGTGTCCCTTTCATGGGCAATCACTTTGGTCAGCTTTTGGCGCCGTGTTCCACATTGTACGATGTCCCCTTGTATCAAGTCACCTGCCTTGCGCTCAGACCGAACGTCATTCTCAAACACGACCACACGATGAGAGGATGTCACGGTGATTTCAGCTTGCGTAGTGCGCAAGGTTCGCAGGCTGCGCTTCTTGGAACTCAAAACCTTGGTCTACGCATGTCTGTGGTAAACTTGGGCCCTGTTCTGAACCCCGGGCCCGAAAGGCTAGGTATATAATGAAGTTGCTAATCCGTTGGTTCATTGTCCAAAATAAGAATCAAATGAAAATAGAATCAACACTTTGAAAAGACAAAGTGTTCAAAGCCCTGCAATACAAAAATAAACATAGCCCATCATAGCCCTATTATGTACTTGATCTTAAATGCGAGTTGGCAGCCTCCTTGCACTCAACTCGCAACGCTCGGTCAAACCCTGCAATATCATCACCTTCACGAAGATCGCGGGCAGTCTTGCGGCCGTTGCTGGGGGTTCGGAACAAGGTCTCTGGCAAGTAGCATCTGGCGTTCTCGTGCAGGTACCCGACGAGCTCAAAGCCATCATCATCGTCATTCCCAGGGCTGCGGAATTCAAAATGGCGCAGAAGTCGCCTCGTGCTGTTCGAAGGCGACACAGGACGTTGTGAGCTCCTCAAGACACTTCCTCCATCTTCTCGCTCTGGAATCTGGGGACCGGAAGGACTCTCTTGGATGACAGCATGTAAAGCTTGCATCTGGTTTGGCTTTCTGTCATCACCACTTCTGTGGTTTGGCTTTCTGTCATCACCACTTCTGTGGTTTGGCTTTCTGTCATCACCACTTCTGTGGTTTGGCTTTCTGTCATCACCACTTCTGTTCCAGTAGTAGGCTATGAAACCGACCAACGCAGCAGCTGCGATGACCCCCAAACAAATCAAAAGACCAATCTCAACACAACCTTCTTTTGCATATTCAACCTTGATCTGTTTCTTGGCGCCTGGAATCTTGGTGTGATCCAAGCCCAAAGCTTGGAGAATGCATTCCTTCAACTTCTTTTCGTATGCCAAAGGATCGGCCGTGTACTTGGAAAAGTCTTCATTGATTTTGATCTTGTACCTGGCCTCACCAGGCTTGAGCCCTGCCATATTGTTGGGAGAGCCAAGAGATCCCACCACAACTTTCCCATGGATATTGTATTTTCCAACGCATGAAAACTCGGAGATTGGAAAGTATGCTGCCAACTTGGACTTGAGATGATCACCCACTTCCTCCGCATTCATCATAGGGATTCCATTGTCCTGCAGGAAAGCAGGGATATCCTCTTTTGCGATGTAGACCTTTGAGCCCACTGTCTTGGTCTTGTACAAGATTGGCATCTTGCACAGTTCCACGCTGAGCGGCTCAGGGCGCTCACGTACTTGCCGTTCGCTGAGCCCCGGCCTCCCCAAGCACTCAATGCTGTCCATCATATAGCTCATCAACATCCCGCGATCATAGAGGTCTTTGAGGGCATCAATGGATCTGCTCATCCTCTCGAGGTTGGGTCGCAAACACAAAGGATCACAGGCTGGATTGGGATCGGTGGCGAGCTTTTTCCCGTACCAGTATGCAAGTCCGACTGGAATGGCAGGAAGTGCACCCGGGATATGGGCGGCAGTTCCCAAAGCCACAGCACTGCCCGAAGTGACGGCAACGCCCACCGTCGGACAATAGCTACGCCCATTACGCTGAGAGACTCCCATTTGAGCACCAGCTTGAGAAAGGGCGTGGCTGGCTTGATTGCCCATCCTGCTTTGGCTTCAACTTCTTCCTGCGATGCAAAGCCTCTGCTGCTTCGAGCCATGAATTCAAGATTGGCTGTTTCAGCGATGTGTCCATGCACAACGTTGCACCAACCCAACCAAAAGTACAAATTCCACGAACTCTAAGATGCCAAGTGTAAGTTATAAGAACACAGTGACCATTCAGACACGTTTCAAAATCACTCTGCTCCATCCTCCCCCGCAGGCGGCACCTGCTGCACGGCATAGAAGGCCAGCATGCCGAAGCCCAGCACCCCGCAGAAGGCCATGGCATCGCCCTTCTTCACCGTCAACTCCTCCTGCCGCCAAGGCGCCAGGGAAGGAAGTGGAGAAGATATGTGGATGTGTTATGAAATTGTGAACAGTGAACATACACTTGCTATTCCTTACTTACTATCCCTTACTATCCCTTACTATCCCTTGCTATCCCTTATTATCCCTTACTATACAAGTTGGCATGGAAACCTTTGGCTGAGGTTTGGAAACATACTTGATAATGATAAGCCTAAGCTGAGACTGTTTGGGTCTTTTTGGGGGTGGCAAGCAAGCACCAGCGAGATTGGCCATCTGAGAACCGTTCATAGAGATATCTACTCAGTACGTTTTTACTGTTTTGTTCCTGCAAAAGTTCTGCAACTTAACTTGCAGCAAGTCTGTGCTGCTTCAAGATTTCAATATAGGAGAGGGGGTAAGCTCTAATCTTTTTTGTGATCCCAATGAACATCTGAGAATCACTTTAAATCAATCGGGATCAAATGGATAAATGGCAAGTGATGACTAGATCTGTAAGTGGTTCAAAGATCTTCAAAGCACAAACCCAATCGCCCAATCAAGTTGAGACTTAATGCATGACATCATGTTGGTCATTTCAAAATACACCAGGCATTTCGATCCATTTCTGTAGCTTTGCCGACGACCAGGATCACCCCGGCAGCACAGTGCCACTGTCCCTGTCGACCAGCTGTGAATAACCATCCGCCTGTCGACACTAAATGGGATTGGCCAAGTCGCACTGATTCACAGTACAACAAGTGCATGGAAATTCGATGAAATGGCAGTGTGTCAAAACCTTGTACCCCTGGTGAACATCAAAATAGCTGGTAAATGGATGTTCATCCCCCTAAAAATTGTATTAATAGGTATTGATCCATACCCAAATTAGATTGGGTAGCCAGTAGCCAATCCTCTGCTTCTCTGAAATTGAAGACAGACCCTCAACTACCACCAGGTAACCCATTGAAATCAACGCCGGGTAAGTGTCTGACATATTTGATCAGGTATTCGGGAATTACATTAGACTTCCAAGGAAATTCATGGCAGTGTCAAATACATGGTTGCTACCTACCTACTGTTCAAGCTGGTGCATGGAGTTTGGCCATAATTCCCCCCCCCAACATAGAGGAACCCACGTGGTTAGCACCCGCAAAACACATAGGAATTGGATAATGTTCAGACATGTCACTACACCAAGCCCCCTCACTGGACAGCTCTTGATCTTCCCCAATTTGTAGGATTCGTGGCAAAAGTTTGAAAGCAAATAGGTATACCAATGTGTTGCACTAGTCTTGTTGATTGTATAGTGCGCTGTATCTGTGGATAGCAATCATCGCTGTTTCGCGTTTTCACGTGTCCGCCCTTATTTTCCCGATATGCGGGTTTCCTAAAATAGGGGTACCCCTAAAACATCCACTTTATTCCTGGATTGTCCACTTTAAACCATCCAGTTTGGGGTACCCCCATTTTGGGAAACCTCCATATGTTTATTGGTTGTCTCACCTTAACCCAGGCCCCCAGCCCATCCAAAGCTCAAGGCACTGGAGGCTGAAGCAATGTACTGGACGCAACTGAGAGAGGCAGTTCAGTCCTGGCCAAGCAACTGAGTGGCTTTTTTGCCACGCAACCCGGGATTTGTTGCAAGCAAATGGGGATTTTACAAGACAAACGTGATGAATTGGCAGGAATTGGCAGGCGGCTGTGGGGCATTCACCCATCTGCACCAGTTATTTAGGGCTTCTCTATGAATCCCTTCTGTGTTGGCTGTCACTTGGGTGTGGGTCACAGTTGATGGTTATAACAAAACATATCCGTCCAATTTGTGAATTCTATTGGTTACGGATAACACAATATAGATCCCCTTGATTGTGATATCCTTGCCTCATCTTGCCTTCGTGATCATGAATGTTTCCAAATATTACCTATAAATCTATAAAGTAGAGTTAAGTTCAATACCAGATTACATGGCAAATCCTATATAATTCGGATGTGTAGCCCCAGTTGAGTTCCACGTGACCCTGTATCCCACATTGATCTCCCCCAAACTCCTGAAGTCATCGACCCTCAGCAACGTCCTGAGCCGTGGTCCGTTGATAGGAGATGAAGGGTACGCTGACGCTGACTGCTTTGTGTTGTCACTTCTATACAGTAACGTGATTTTCAGCAAAGCACTAGTATCATCTAGTATCTTATCTATCTATTTTTCTAATAATCTACAGTAATATAGCTTATATATATATTTTTATATAATTTATATAATTTATATAATCAAATCAAATGATCTATCCATCCAATCCATCTCTCCCTATCTAAAAATCCAGAAGCATCGAGACATCCCCATGACAGTGACTCCCAGTCCTGGCAGCAGTCGGTCGTCCATCTGCCACTACCAAGCATGCCACGGCCAGCCGAAGCATGGCGGAACATGGGGAAGGACCTGAACTTAACACTAGTGGAGCCAACGCGGTTGCGGATGATAAGATGTACTGATTTGTTTGGAAACATCCAGTTTTGGCTTGATGATGATTGATGATTGCGGATAAACATATCCTGAAGTTGGGAAACATCGGACTTCATGAATGTGTTGGGCTTAGGGTTACCTAACAAAATCACAAGTCCCAACTACTACTCGACAGCCTTCCACTGAGTCACTTACTCGTTGGCTGCGGCCAGGAGAAGCACAGTGCTCTTCCCAAGGACCGAGAAGGACTTCAATCAATGGGATCGTCTTTGACTATGATCCAGCCATCTGAAAAATTAGGTCCAAATTGATTCAACAATGGACACGGAAACGCATCGGTGGGCTTCACCCATTTTCACCCCATCCTAACGGCGTTCCCCCAACGGAACAGCTCCTTCTTCATCCTGTGTTGCCGCACATTGGCCAAGCCTGTTCCGTTGGGATGAAAATCTGGATGGGATAAACATTTATAGGCAAAGAAGATCCGCAAGATCCTAAGGTGAGTGAACATCACCACTCAAACAAAACGTCCATCTACTGTATATCATCTTTTGTCCATTCTGTCGATGTTGGATGGTGAGGGTTTCAAACGGGGCCCAAAAGCGAAGCCCCAAACCCAACAAAACTGGCAGTTCATGGGACAAACTATTTGACAATATTTGACCGGATCAATTCCACTACAGTATATCACCTAATTCTCCAACCTGTAATTACTGTAAGTAAGCTCGCTACTTGCGATACTTTCCCCGGGTTTAATCAATCATTGACCTCGCTAGGTCGTTGTACTTCAGCGGGAGCATGTGGATGGACTCACTACGAAAGCCTCGAATTCAGATGGCCAAGGTGCCTTGACTTTGCGTTTTCATGCGATGCTCTCCATACAAAGCCTGAGCCAAGGTCTGACAGGTTCTAACAACGGCTAAATTTGGTCCCTGAACATCATGGTGGTACTGGAAAAATCAACCAGCCATATGGATTGATGGCTTATAGATTCTATAGATGTTTATAGCACCCATCTATGGTAAAATGGGGAATGGTGGATCCTATTGCTTCACTGACAACGGCCCGCAATCTGGCCATGGGTCAAGTCGTTGAGTAGCCAAAAATGCGATGACAATGAATGACTACTTCAGTGATCCTCCGCTGGTGAGTTCCATCAAAATTGTTTGGTTGGTGAATGCAACCCCATGTTTGTAGTTTAATAACATGTGGTTGAATCACTATTTCCGATCAAAAAACATCATATGAGCCGAGCTGGTTAAATGACCATATTTGTTGGCCAACTCACATTTTTTTGCTGGCTAAATCACCATATGGCTTGGTGAAAGAATGTTCAATGGGTGAATCCCAATGTTTGCCAGTAATTTCCCTCGCTGAATCCAGGTATTCCAATGCTGAGCCCACCACTCGAAAGCCGAAACGTAGGAGCCGGAGGCGGTTGGCCTGTGGGAGAAGGGTACCAAAGAGTTACCCAAAAGGTCACAAAAAAACTGTAACTAGGGGAATACCCAGTCGAAAAAAAAACAATTTTTAGTCGACAATAATCTTCCAGCCCCCGCATCAGGGTCTGTGTCAATTGGAGGGATGGTAATCCTATTTCATGTAAGTATGGGTTACTCAGTTTTTGTTGACATGTTTATACGATTTTATACGTATACAGATGTGTTCCGATCCAATTTCCCCTGAATTTGAAATGATCCAATGATCCATCATTGGCCATGAGGGACCACACAAATCATCATTTAGAAGGGAGTCATCGAATTTATCGATGGGGTTAACGTTGACCTATCTGGGACGAAGGATAAACCTCAACCCCAAAATCAACGAGCCATAAAATCTTCGGACAGAATACAGTTGTATTGCACTTGTGAACTGGGGAAATGAACAAAAATAACCACCTTAGTGGCTACCCCAGAATAACCAACCCCCCCACCCCACCATAGGTCTACCCTCTGATAATTTAACGTAGCCATGAAAAATCATCATGTTTGAGACTTGAGAGGTATTTGGGCAATTTATCATAAATCATCTGTAAATGGACCATTTTCCATAGCTAAATTCAATGAGCAGAAGGTTGCAAGGTCGACAAGTTACCTTCTGAACTAGTCACAGGACCGGATGAAAAGCGCGCCTTCACGTGAACGAAACCGCCAAGGTGCCAGGAGTCAACTGTTCTCCTACCGACAGGGTGTCCAATAAGGGAGGAATGATGGCTGTACAACATCCTATTAATATGTGTATATATATATAGGATTGTTTAGGTTTCCCAGCAAGCAATTCCTTGAACCCATTCATAGTCAACTTTACTGGGGAAAACACATATCCAATGATATCCAATGGAGCGTCTTGAGATCTTCCAAGGATTTTTTTCTTGCAACTATGGGAACGCACTACACGAGGCCTCCAGCCATAGTTTTGGAGATACGTTTGAGGACATCTCACCTAAATCCGAAAGCATCAACAATTTGGCACCATTGGTTGCCCGCACATGGTTCCGTCATCTGAAGCCGTATGCAAATAGTACTAGTAGTGGAGATGCTTTTGCTTCCAATCTGAATTGTGGGTTGATTCATGACAGGAATCATGGACTGGCGGATAAGCCAGAAGCCATCCGCATCCAGTAAATCAAATGTAATTATAGGAGGAAACACTGAAATTGAATTGAAGTATCTTTGACAATTGTGACATACCTCTAGAAATTGATTTGGACCGGCCAGTCAACCACATGTTGTGAGCCGATGTTCCTGAACTTTGGGGGCCACCCAAGCCCGGGCTGGTCCTGACCAAGGCCATGATCTCATCCTGAGCAGCAATGAAACTTCGAAGTTACATCGGAAGAAACTGGGCAACGTGACTGGAAAGTCAAGTGGTCAATTGGAATGAGTTGAGGAATGTACCATCTCCTGTCCCGATAGAACTGACATGAACTGACTAAAAATTGCATTCGAATATGTTGAAACCTCTCCACAGGATGACCTATCCATAGCTGACATGACCGCAAGGACTCAGAACTCACATGCCAAGCCCTTATATACCCTCTGGTAATTTAACATAGCTATTGAAAATGACAATTTATAGTGGATTTTCCCATTGAAAATGGTGATTTCCCATAGCTATGTTAGTTTACCAGAGGGTATCCTTAATAATGTTCAAGAATCATCAAACGAGATGCATAAAGCATGATACAGCTCATTGAGGACCTGATATCAAAATTCTACCAAGTGAGCCATAAGAAAATACCACAACCCTCATCCCATCTGGTCGATTCATCGGAACTCCCATCATGGGTTATTTAGTTATTTCGCAATCCCTGTAACCGGTTATAACCAACCAACCGTTGGGTTTTCGCATCTCCAAAACAACGCAACACATCGCCAAAACCCTGGCAAAAGGGTTGGCCCGAGTGCCCTGTAGGTCACTCTATCACAGTTTATGGACGTTCATCCCCGCCAATGGTAAACAGCTACAAGTACCCATTCCCATATCTCAAACCCTTTGGTTTCCTATAGATTTTCCCATAGATTTTCCCATACCTTTCATATCACATTTCATATCTCCAAAGAGGGGTGGACCCAGGGATGGGTCAAAACTCAAAACCTACTATTTATACCATCATTTGGGAGAATAAACATCCAAAAACATCCATTACCCAGCAATTTTCCGGCAGGATCCCAGTGTTTTGTCGTGCCACGGTGCCGGTTTTCATCCGCTCCCCGGATCGGCCTCGTCCACGTAGATCTTCCGGGGTCGACTGAGACGGAGCTGCTTCATGCTGCTGCTCTCACCCTCCTGAGCCGTCCACGTTGCGCAGAAACTGCTGGTTTTCCATGGTGGATATTAGAACAAACTAGCTGAACTAGCGTAACTAGCTGTGAAGAAACTGCGGTTTATAAAGTATTGATAGGTTCTTTGAATGTAGTAATGTAATATTTTTTGAATGTTGATTTAACAATATTATATAATATATATGGATGCAAACAAATGACGTGTTGATATAGAGAAATGACTGATAGCCGTTAACACATAGTGGTATTTTACAATGTCTGATTTGAATATCACCTAATGATTTTTCGGAATCATTTTCAAGAACCCCCTGGTGGTGATGTCCAATTTGTTTAATCAACAAATGGGGACAGTTCAGCAACCCCTGGTGCCAGCATGTCCCAACATGAATTGATCTGACAGGTATGGGTCACAATTTTTAAGGCAACCTGGGCTGGTCAAGTTCACAATATCTCATCCCATTGTACCGGTCGGTCAAGTTCGGTATTCCTAAGCCAAGATCAATTTATGTGTTTCACCAGCCCTATTAGGCCACGGGGTAGAACCCACTATTCATCAATCAACGATTGGGTATTCTCCTGGCCCACGTATTGAAATAATACAAGTAACAAATGATATACAATCGCTGGTGGATGCTGATTCCCTTATAACGGACTATGATCATTGCCAAAATATACAGAGTAGTGTCACTCCCTATCATGATCAACCACAATTCATCATAATCGATATTTATCCATCATATCTTCAGGTTTGACGGGCAAAAAAGGAATGCTAAATGATGGATAAATATTGATAAACATTGATAAATCTGGATAACTCTGGATAAATATTCATGTTACCATACATATTTACATACATATACTGTATATATCCATCATATCCATCACATCTTAAATTCTCATTGAATCAACGAAGAAACCGTGGCGCCCCCACTGTCGACTTCACGAATTTCTCCACGTCCGCGTTGTCCTCGCTGAGCCGCTGGGAGGGATGATCAAGATGATCACCGCTGAGGCTATAAGATCTATAAAACCTATAAGGGTTTTATAAGACAACATCTATTAGTTATATTATAAGATCTATACAAGATCTATACAAGATCTATACAAGATCTATACAAGATCTATACAAGATCTATACAAGATCTATACAAGATCTATACATCTATCACAGGGAAAAATAGATCCACTTATAAATGGGATAACCTATAAATGGACACTTAGAAAACACACGTAAAAAATGTGGGACTTGGCACATTGAGCCTTTTCTCCGATGGTCTGTCGTTGCCTGAACCACTTCTGAATCCGGTTTCCCCCTGGTCCAAAAGACTCAAAACTGAAGGCTGTTTGGTGGTTTCAATCCCTCTGAAAATATTAGTCAGTTGGGATGATTATTCCCAATATATGGAAAAATAAAACATGTTCCAAACCACCAACCAGAAGGTGTATTTGCGTAACTGGCGTGGTATGAGTGATTGTCGTGATTAAGTTTCAGCTCAGTGTATCTACTAGTTTTGGACATGGTTGGACTGTTGGACATAGTACACTGAATATTTTTGCAAGTACTTCCCTCGTGTTCTCTCAGTATTTGCACCTACCTTGATAGTAAACATACAGATCTTTGAATGTACCATTGTTTCACCAGTACATTGAGGCTTAAGATAGAGTTTTACGACTCTCTAATCTTGATGCAAAAAAAAACACATTGGAAAACAATGGACTTGATGATGAACACCCAATTTCGGGGAAAAAAAAAAAAAACATGCACCAGGCCCCAGGCCGCAGGCAGTGCCTGAGCCTGTTGCATGGACTCTCCCCAGCGACTCAGACGCACGGGGAAGGTGCGTTGCATCAAAGCGATTTGGTGGTACAACGCCAGATCCGCCACGTAGAGAGGCCTTGGTGAACCATGGATTTTCCAATGGATTTTCAAGGGATCTTCAATGGAAAACCATGGATTTTCCATCATTTCAATGGATTTTCCAATGATTTTCCAATGAACTATGGATTTTCCAATGGAAACCAATGATTTTCCAATGATTTTCAAGGGAAAATCCGAAGCAGAAACCATGGATTTTCCCATGAAATATGGAGATTCCTGTAGATTTTACCCCTAAATCAATCCATCGAACGATAGTGAACCCAAGATGGTATCGTAATTCACCCAAGATGCATGTACTTAAATTATCTTAAATTACCTGATTCACTATATAGAATTGCGTATAATATTAGCGCATGTTTTGTATTTTAGCAATATTAATGGTTACATATATGGTTACTCAATGGCAAAGTGTGAATTTTAGTGAATACGAACCTTGGTTGGTGAATGATCCAACAATCAAAATAATCACTAGATTGATGGTATTCGCCATACAGTACCACCAATAGTGAGGACAACAGTGAATTCTTCAAACAAATACATGTTTCAGAATTCATACTGAGGGTAATAGTATGCCGTAATCGTTTAGCAAGCCAACCCTAATGGGTGGTAAGAAACCCATGGTGCGTGGTGACGTCAATTCCCTGGTTTTAACCAACGAATGGAATCTTTGGTGGCTCACCTGCTGAGATAGGTCGGGCGGATCGACGATTCACAGGAGTGGGATGGATATGACCCATTTCTGGGGATACCCATTCTGCTTATCTATACAATTCTATATACAGATTCTTGTTGATTATGAACACGTGTTGATTGCTGGATATTGTTGCTTATGATTCATGATTGTTTTGGTTCAACCCACCAGTTTCGCTGTTTGGACCAACCACTACACGGAGATCTTACCAGAATTAGCTAAGTGCTTCATAACTGGGGTATATCCCAATTAATATACCAGCATATACCAGCTATCAACGGGCTGGGTTTATAACCCACTTATAACCCACGTCCTAAATTTCCTAACCACTTGCCTGATGGCAACAAAGCAAGGATTATCCCAGGCTGAGCCCTCCAGCAAGGGTTCGTCAAATTCATCCACACCAGGAGTGGTCTGCGAAACGCTGGCCTCGTCAAAAAGCAGAAACAGTCATACAAAGAGCTTCAAACAGGGAAGCAGTCAGCTGCAGAGCTAAAGATTAAACCAAAAAAAACAGGAGGATACAACTATACCCACAATTTAGTCAAACTTGGGTACTCCAAATATGGTTTAATTACCCAGAATTAACCAGATTTCATCATAATATAGGCCTTGGGTTTTAAAATTGACACCCACACATATAGATCGCAGGAATCAAGTTTGACCACTTCCTATTCCCATCCCCTTCATATTCAATAGCCCCAATATGGAAGCCCAGGTCATGAAAAGATCCGATATTGTCCACCAGGGGGGTGACCATTGGTTGTACCCTCTGGTTATGTCAAAATAGCTATGGAAAATGACCATAGAAATAGTGGATTTTCCCATTGAAAATGGTGATTTCCCATAGTTATGTTAGTTTACCAGAGGGTATCAAGTTGTATCATTCTGGGGAACAGATTCCCATCCACCTAAGATCGAGGCAATCCCCAGGATCTGAGGGAAGAGATCGTACTAGATATATCATACTGTGCATACATGACATATATATAAACTATCAAAATGACTATATCAATACCATTCAATACCATACATAACATCAAATATCCACGGCGTTTTACCGTGTCAAAGATGAGCCCTGGCAGCTGATTCTGGGTTTCACCCAGGGCTTCAAAGCTCTGCACATCTGAGAGATGCATATCGCTGAAAAAACACTAAGACTGGTTGGTGGTATACCTACCCCTATAGTGATGATTAATATATGGTTAATATATGGTTATTATATGGTTAATGATGGTTCATAATGTTATCTGGTTGGTGGTTGAGCCCTACCCCTCTGAAAAATGATGGAGTTCGTCAGTTGGGATGATGTTCTTCCCAACTGAATGGACAGTCATGAAATTCCATGGTTCCAAACCACCAGAAGAGTTGATCTGACTGGTCCATTTCTGGTCCATGGCATTCCATGTACCCAGAGTTTGTTGCTGGGTTTCCACGCCCGCGTCAGGGATGGCATGGTACGAATCCTGGCAGATGTTGACCCCAGCTGGTGGTCCCAGGAAAAGTCTGAGAGATTTCGGTACAGGAAATCCATGGGAAATCCCGAGAATTTTGGATGTAAACCTTTCACAGAACCACAAGTTTCATCACATCGTTGATCTTTTTTGAGTGCATTTTTTTCATGTAGAAAAACAAAACAGAGTCTGTATGCCACAAAACACCAGCTTGCTGGCCTTTTCTTCGAGGAGTCCTGAAAGGGGGGCACTGTTTGCGGACTCAAAACATAGGCCCTCTGCGAACCAAATGTAAACGGGTGTGTCAATATTTGGGATCCGAAACACCAAGGGAATCCACGGTCACCTTTGGCACTCGATTCCAAAGGCAGATCCAGAGTTCGACCCTGGATCTGGCTGGGAAATCTCCGAGCTAAATGGAGGTCTTACTGGGAATCTCATCTATATATAAATAAAGGATCTTCCATTGCCATGTTTGATTCCTGGAGGGTGTGTTGCATCCTTTTATAATATTATATATAATTATATATATATATGTCTTAAATGTTTCGTTGAGGATTTCAGACTGATTAAACTTCATATCATTCCAATTTTAGATCAGCAAACTCAAGCCTGGATCTTAAACATCCCGTCGTAAATATGCGCAGCCATGAATCCAACTGAATTAATGGACATGAATGGTTTATAAATGGTCATGTTCATTGGATATCAAAGATGAATCTCCCCCATTTTTTGAAGCCCCAAACGAAAAAAAATGGTGGATGGATGATCCGGGAAATTCACCCATGACCCAGGGGATGTTTCAGAAATCCGGGCGCAAGGATGATCCCTGGGACCTTCCGGCCTTGGAATCGAAGCGACTCTCCAACTTGCTCTTGTCCGTGGCACCTATCCGCCGAGTTTGAACCGGTGCTGGTGATGCCGGGATAGAGCTGACATATTCTGATATGTTGACTAAAGAGCCGCAAAAAGATTGAATACCATCCTACCAAAACATACCGAGGTAAATTGAAGTGGTCTCTGTTTTTTTTTTTGGGGGGTGCTTATATACTACTATACTGATAATACAGTGCGGCAAATGATGCGGCAAATATAATGACAATCTGATAACTGATATGGCACTTATATAGAATGAATCCACAATGTATGTATATCCAAAAAAGGGAGCATTTACTCCCAATTTCTGGGAATTTAATGAGGACAATTCAGTTGCCATATTCAACTACAGTATTCCTAGACAAACTCAGCTAGGCTAGATCTGTTCCATCTGATGCTCATTTAGGGTGTAGCTGTAGCTGCATTGAATCATATTGGATCTATTTTGAGCTTCTATGATTTCACTTCATCCAAGTAGATTCATCCAGACTTCGGCATGTCTTGTGGCATCTTGTGGCTGTGGCGCACCTTTGTCTTTCGACTTGGAGGGTCTTTTCTCCTCCATCAACAAGCCTGGCCCGCCAAATTTTCATCGTGCTGTCTGCAATGCTGGTGAAAAGGCCCCAAGGTCTTTTCAAACACATGTTTAAATAAGGGAGAAGTTATATATATATACACTATATGTATGTATATCTATTATTTATATACAGTATATGAGCGATTGTGAAAACCCTAGGTTCACGGAAAAGACATCCACAAATTTGGGAAGGTCCCATCGCTTACCACACGTTTGTACAATAATGATATATGGTAAACTTGGGGGGTATCGCATGCAGGAAGCTGCTGCATTTATATATATATATGTGATGAACCATGAATAATATGTGATATTTGGGTATCGCTAATGTGGATATTAGAGAAATATGATGACATAACCTTGAAAAGGGGTATCGCTAATGTGGGAAGGTCCCATCGCTTACCTCGTGTTTTTATCAACTTCCATCAATTTCCATAAACCAATGTCCGTCAAATACATATTTAGTATTGCCGGTGTTTTTACGGTTGCTCATATGATGTTGATGAAAAATAATTGATGAAATCATTGATGACTGAATATCGAAGACAGTTTGTAATACAGACTGATTGATCTTTGCTTCATTTCTTCCTTGCCAAGACTCAGGCGCATCTTCGGTAGCAACTCACTGGGATCAAAAGGCAAGAACCCTATGGCAGTGTGTCAAAACCAATAGTACCCCTTTTTTGTTCACATCAAAATAGCTGGGTTAAAATGGATGTGAATAACCCACTAAAAATTGTATTTTCATAGGTATTGATCCATACCCAATTAACATAAAACCAATTAACACATCTTAACACTATGATCGCTACAGTAAGAAAAATGAATGGTTCTGGCCAACAATTTCCAAGGTCGGAAGGATCCCTCAGATTGGTCTTGTGCCGCACCTTCCAGTGCAGCAAACTTCTCATCTTGCGCCTGGACTTCGTCATGGTGATTACCCCCTGCGTAGCCATGGAACATGGCAATGTTTCATATGCAATTCATGTTACAAATGGGAAAGTGTCCGTAGCTGTGTTAGATTGCTAATGTTATAAGTTTACCAAGAGTATTCATATCATCAGTATTTATATTATGTCAATCCTAGTATTAAAGCGGTTTCAATAGGAACATCATCTACACATGCTGGATTTTGTTGAGGTGAGATTGTTTGAGGGCAGCCATCCTTTATACTATCTGGTTATTCAACGTAGCCATGGAAAATGGCCCATAGAAATAGATGGTTTACCCATTAATAGCATGGTGATGTTCCATGGCTATGGCACAAATAACCAGATGGTAATTCTTGTACTCCTAATTTCCCCAGATCCATCCGAATTCATCCGAATTATAACATCTGTAGCCATCCTTTGCCGAAAAAACACCTTTGCTAAAGGTTGACGTGAATTTGTTCGATCCTGGAATCCTGGAATTTGATCCATTTGATCCACGTGGAGGGCCTGGTTCCTCACTTCCACAATCTGCATGCGACTGGGAGCACCAACGAATAAATTTGATATATTTGATTGATGGATCAGTTCATGTCAGTTCATGTCAGTTCTATCAGGAAAAAGGGTCACCTAAGATAACTTGCTCTTGGCACATTCAGTTAGTCCGAAAAGTGGATTCTTCAGGATGTTAGCACGTTCACTCATTTTCAATCATTTTCAATCATGTTCAATCATGTTCAATCATGTTCAATCATGTTCAATCATTTTCAATCATGTTCAATCATGTTCAATCATGTTCACATCTCAAAATGAAGCAAAACCCAATCAAGCATGATAAATCTCGAATTTGTCATTCTGCATGGGCCGTTCTTCACCATCTCCATCTTCCGACGCCTTGGCGGCCGCCGCGCGGGCGGCTTCTTGGTCCTTCTCGTAGATCTCGTAAACCTGGAGGATCAGCGAGTGATCTCCCCAAAAAGCTGCAAAAATATAGGGGATGTGGGGGTGCAGCACAAAACCTCGAGAAATGCCAGTTCTGACTCGCACAAATGGGTAGTTTACCATATAAATACGATGGGTATCCTGTTTGCAATTCAATTTTCCTATAAGATCCAAAAATTGAAAGCTTGATACACTGGGGGTTCATCCACGGTGATGGGTGTTGATTTTAGATATCTTGATTGATTTATAGTCGATGTTTATTGATGGGTTGCCTACAGGAGTTTACGGGGATTATGGCTTCAAGGACAAGAAGCAGGTGCTCATTATTGTAGAGTTCTTGTACCTATTAACTGTCAAGCCTTAGGGCCTTAGGGACCCTGACCCCACTGCCAGTGACCGGAGTTTTGCCCAACCAGCATAATTGCAATGGTTTGTGCGACATTTTTCTCATCGGCATGTGTCTGCAACGCTCTGTGGAGGCAGTTGCTGAAGACGATTGACACATGCATTGAACCAGGACCTGTTGTTGTCCTGGCTCTCTATAAAAGGGTTTGAGTTTGACCCCTGAAATCAAGCGGGAACCAGAAAAGTGAAAAAGCAAGTTAAGTAATCTTAATTATAAGTAAAATTCTTATGGAATCATCAGGCAGCAACCCAAATTTCAGGTTCCATGTTCAATTGTGGGGTGCATGTAATCTGTAGCGGCTGGTTATGTGGAAACATACCAGTGTCAAATCTTCTGGGATTCCTGCATGTTTGTTGCATGCAGCTCTGTGCGATTCCAGCACTAAATCTTGAAATCGGATGAACTGCGGCGATCTGAAATGGACCACGAGGCGACCCAGAAATTGTATCAAATTGGGCCATATTCGTCCATGTTGGGTCTAATTTGGAGCATTTTTGAAGCAGCATCATTTAGCTTTCCCTGGTTCTCGGCCTCTTGTCTGGTGGATCAACCGTCCACCAATCATCGTCAGACTCCACGCCATCCGAGAAGATGCCCGTGAGCACTGTTTTGGATCCCAGCATGCTGCGCAGGACCAGCTTCCGCAGAATTTTGGGAGTCACAGCCTGAGCTGAGGTCTTGATGCTGCGGAAATCCTCGACATGATCCTTCATCAGGTCAAGGGCTGTAATTGTGGGAGGCTCCAAAACCTTCAAGGAGTCGGTCACCATGAATTTGCAGTTGTCCTTCAAGATGAATGGCCCCAATGGCCCAAGAGAATGGTCCTTCTGTGACTGAACTCGGCCATAGTAAGGCACAATCTGGTGCTCCTTGGGATTTGATGAAGCTTTCGCCTTTTCTTTGGCCCAGTCCCTCAACTCCTTTGTGGTGCAGGTCTTTGGTATGAACGCAGCACCATCTTTTCCAGACGTAAAAGATTGAGGTCCCAAGTTCTGCAAGGATTCCTTCAAGTCCAGGAATGGATGAAGATCATTCTGCACACCTTTGCTACTGGAGTTGGAAATAAGACGTGACAGAGGTGCATTCATGATGGCAAACAGCAGTTCAACAAAGTCCCTTCCGGTTTCCAAGAAAATCACTTGGCCACTCTGCGAACGGAGCAGCTTCACTTCGATTTTGGGGTCTGCATTCATGCGCCGGTCCTCTGACTTGCTGCGTTTCTTCTCTTTCGTTTTCATAAGGACAATCTCCTGTGATAATTTCGAGTGTCTTCAGCAAACGCCCAAGTTTCAAGAGGTCAGTCGAAATGGATCGAAATGGCTGTAATGGCTGGGTCGTTGCGAGCCGGGCCATGCAGATCTGCGGGATCGTTGTGATGTCGTTGCCGTGTCTTTTTTAAGACGTGACAAGCACCAAAGACTATCACCATAAACATCCTTGTCAGAAACATGCAGTCCAAAAAAACATTTAAAAAAAACATCTCTCCATATCCCATAGTAAATTCCGAACTCCACCACACTCGCCAAAGAATCCCAGGAATCCCCGGAACATCCCACCATGTCCCGCCTCCGTTTCACACTTGCTCCACACAGGCATCAGCACCCGGACGAAGGCCTTGCGCATCATCCTGCATCGACGGTTCCCAGCCGACGTTGAACCGGGAAGATATATGTAGCGACACCCAGAAAGATGCAAAAACTAGATGAAAATAGCAAGATCCCATCGAAACATAGTAGTGGTTGGTAGAACATCTACAATCTACCATCTGGTTATTTAACAGTTCGCCATGGAAAGATCCACCCATGTTTCATAGGTAAATCATCTATTTCTATGGGACATAAACAAACCATGGCGAACTGTTAGTCATACCCAGAGGGTATACGTACAAGACATATACAGAGCTGTGCTTTTTTTTGTTCAAGGTCGCTGTCCTACCATGGATGGGACAGCGAAATCCTGCACCAGTTGACAGGTGGTTTATCCCATGATTTGTAGGGTTTGAACCATCGATGGTGGTGCAGGAACTGCAGGATGTCGCAACCATCCACAGTAGCTCCAAGGAATTTGAAGAGTGTGCCACTACAAAAGTGGTCCAAGGAACAAATCCATAGTCAGGGTAAATTACGATATTCATCATAGCCAACTGGCCAGAGGTTTCCATCTTGAAACACGTCAGCCCTTGGGATGAGGAAATTCAAGATATCATGAAACCACCAAGCATACCCTTCATGGATATGATTCGTCAGTACTCTGTAGCAATGATGAAGATTTTTTGTGTAATAGATATATATATATATACATATGATTGTAATTGTCTATATAAATAGACGAATAAATTCCACCTCTCACATTCAGGGCGATGAAAGCCGCTTCCTGATTCGCAGCCAGAAGCGTTGGATGCGCATCTCAGTCGCGAGTCAGCGAGGGACTTTGGGACTTGGGCTTAGAAGTTCTGAGAATTTCGTTGGAATAATCCACTTCAAACCACAGAATCCAGAAACATGGTTTATACATTATGTTTATATATTTATCTAATTGGAATTGACATCTCCTATAAATATCATATAGAGGTTCATATCTGGGAAACTCATCAAGCTGGATGGGAAATGTTTCACAGCAAGCCATATTTGATTACTTGATTACTGGAGGGTGATATCAATTGATCCCATCCCCCTCCAGACTATATATATATAATATATGCAATACCATGACTGGAATGCCTAAATCAAGGTTTCGTTAGGGTGAATTTGGGGGGAACGGGATCAATGTTGGATCCTGAGAAAAGCTTCGAGTGGGATCCACAAAGCCATAGTCACTCCCCAACTTGTCCTGTTCATCATTGCAAATAGCCCTAGTTGGGATTGTTCACTATGCTCCCAAGTTTGGTGAAGATGTACAGCCCCGGCATGCTCCTATGTGGTGAAGATATACAGCCCTGGCATTTTAGAAGAAATCAAACAGTAAGACACGGACATTTGCCAAGGGAAGTTCAGGTTAGATCTGTTATGACGTGCATGTAGGATACTGTAGGCATCTGTAGCCTTCTGGACCAGTACATACAAGATTAGATATATTGACATCTATTGACATCTATGAACAAACAAAAATGAAGAATTACAGTCTAAAGCTACAAACAAAGCTTCTTTGATGTGACTGTCACGCTGCTCCAGATACCGCATGATTGGATGAAACAGGTTACACAAATCACACAAATCTGCAAGAAATGTCAATAAACATCCTGAACAGTCAGAATAATTCAGTGCGCTTTGCAAAGTCATTCAACTTTGTAACTGAGGCTAGATCTACTCATTCCGTAAACTTTTCAAAGTGTTGTTTAGTCAATAGTTGAAAAAACTGAAACTCTTGTAGTCTTCTGGGCTAAATCTCTGAAAGCAAACTATGTTAGCAAGCTACAGGCCTTATGAGGGCTGTTGGACCACTTCTGGTCCCACACTCGCTGGCTTTTACAAGTTTTGTTCCACCGCAGGGACACCCAGGATACCAATTCCGGCCGAAGCTTGAGCTCACACTGAAAAGCCAATAGTTTCAGGTGGTGGCGTTGATCATGTGTTGTTGTCTTGTTTGAATGGGATCCGAAAAACAAAAGGCTCTGATTATGGCGGATTCGTCGGACGGGAATCCGAAGCTTGAAACCAGCAGTTGACCATTGGCTTCAGACAAGGAAGTGGCCAAACACCGGCGACTTTACAGGTGCCCCTTCCATGCCCACCCGTCCCTTGTAAGAATTGGTCGCATCAGCTCTGTCCATTGACCCACTATCATTCATGTTTTAAGACCATGGAGACATGGAGCCATGTTTATTGTGCAAACAGTATCCTGAAAACACAATGTGTAATCTGTGTAATGTGTATAACAAAAAAGAAAAAACAATCCTAAACCTATTGGGATAGTCGGAGGATGCACTTCTGTTCGACCAAAAACGCAGGAACTTCGCAGTTGTTGCGCAAGGCGTTTCTCCGGTGACGGATATGACGGCCAATTTGGCCGACCGTCACCGACGAAGGACGCAATGAGAAGCGGAAAACAAAATTTGGGCCTACCAGCAGTGTCAATCTGGGACGTGCTGGATCTTTTGATTTGATTTTTAGGGCATTTCTATTGAAACATTTGAAACCACTGACTTTGGATACTTGAACTCAGAACAGGAGGAGCACAGGCGGGAAAGAAGGAACACAAAAAAGAGAACATATACAGTACAGTATACATGAATAAATATAATGTCCCTATATGTATATATTATATATTGACCCATGTGCCTTGTGATGCCACCGAATCAAAATGTTGGTTTCTAATGGTTTCCAAACATTTGGCTAAACTGGCTAAACATTTGGTATTTGGGGGCCTGGGAAAAAAGTGACTGCAATCGGCAAATATGGTGAGTCTAGAGTGTTGGAATGGCACGGGTGCCAAACATACCGTATATTCAATCCCCCCGCCATGTTCCCTTCAGACAATGGACATTGTTGGGCCTACGTTAAAACAAAAACACATGTTTCAAACTCAGCACTGGCAAACTGAATGGACTCAAGAAAGCAAACCATCCTGGTTGACACTGCCCTGGTTTTGATGCGTAAGTCACAGCACGTCTTTCGCATGCTGCTTTGCCAATCAGCTTGACCTCACAGATTTCCCACCAGGTTGCCATGACTGGGCTGTGTTAAGGAGAGTAAACGTGGAAAAAAATGTCGGGTAACATGGGTAACATGGGTGATATGGGTATGGTTTTTCATCGCTTTTCAAAAAATTGACCACTGCTGGTTCCTGTTTGATCCGCCGATGCCACAAAAATGGCGACCTGCCAAAACCATCCAGAACCCCATATTGATCCCTATTGATCCCATCTATTTCAGAGCCAACGGACTGGGTATCCTCCTTGATAGGACCTTATTGGTTGAACATTGGTTGAAATGGCCGGCAACTGTGGCATGGCCACATTCGAAATCCCGAGTTGTACCAATCACCATCGCTTGAGTTGGAGAGGGTTCTACTATGTTCTACTAGTATATCGAAACCTCATAAATAGACAGCATATCGAAATCTCATAACTATACAGTCTATCGAAACCTCATTGTTGCAGATGATTCAAGGAAAATAAACGTGATTAAACATGGTGAGACCGCTGTTGAATCATCCCGGCCAATTGAATCAGAAGACCTAGTCCTCCTTCTTCTCCTCTTCAGTCTTGGGTGCCACGTTCACTTCTTCACTCTTCTCCTGCAGTTCGACACAAAATCAAGAATCAGGAAACCGTAGATTTTGAATGGATTTGATCATGTTAAGCCATACCTACATGTGCAGTTTCTCAACTAGGGGTACCTTTTACATGCTACACGACAACACACGCAATGACGCAATGAGCATGATCAGTCAATCGCTGGGCATCCATGGCTGTGGCACATTGGACTCCCTCCATGTGTTTGTCTTGGCCAAGGGGACCACAGTTTCTGGTCGGTCTAAAAACCACTTGGCCATCCCATTTTTGGTACCCAGTCCCCTCCGCTCCAGTAAGGGCTCAGTTTCTGGTTCAGCTTCTGGTTTGAGGGGTGAAGAGGCCTGGAACCGCGCAAAACGCATGAAATGTCAAGAAGCTGAGATATCATATATATATCCATATGTGTGTGAATATAATTAATATATATATATATATATATATGATTATGCATAATATAATATATATATATGTATATACATTATATGAATATATATATATGCATATGTTAGATGATTATATGTATATTAAGTTATATTATATATAATGATTATATATATAGTATATATAGTACATACCACATGCGTATATACATAATATCGTGTTTATATAATATCATATACATATATGTACAATATGTTGAGACAGAGAATGCGTAGACTTTGGCACATGTTTGATGATGATACTTCCACTTTTTGAATCTTCATTCTTGGTCTATGGCGATGTTCATTGTAGTTAATGCTATGGTTGGGCGATATATTCCCATTGCCGCAACCTATCCTAAATCATACACCCCAGTTGATAACCTCTTTTTGTGATGCAACCTCTATACATTTTCCTTGGATTAATAAACAACAAATATGCCCATGTATTGATCATGGTCCCATCCTCATCTCATGCGCGCTGAAACCGTCCGGAGAGAATCCACAGACACATGGGCCATGGATGTGTTTCTAAAACTGCTGATCATAATTGAACAAATGGGCAATTTGTAACCCATCAGCCCGAACTAACCACCAGAAACTACTAGTTGCAACAAATTCAAACCATAAGTACCCTCTGGTAATCAAACATGGCAATTGAAAATCCCATACACATGGTGTTTTGTTGGGAAAAACATGCCTTTATTACTGGTGGATTTTCCTGCCTGCAGAGCTGATGACCAGTGGATAATACCCAGCTTGTGTTCCCATTGGGTAAATTATAATATTTTAATATTTCACAAACCTGAATTGTTGGGCCATTTGGGGATGATTTCCCTTTGAAATCATGATTCCAGGGTTCGGGAGAACAGTGAGGTCGTTATAATTTACCCAGATTGATGATGGTTAAATCCACCGGTTGTTGTTCTTTTGGTACCGCGAATCCGTGGCCCTTGCTGGTCGCACCTCATTGGTCCCCTCAGCTGTTTCCGCCTTTTTCTCGGCCTTTGGCAAGGGATGCACCAAGGATGTTAGGTAAAACTCAAATGGAGAAACTATGTGGTTAATGGGTAATAATGGTTAATACTGGGTAATAATGGTGAATAATCGTTATTAATGGATATTAATGGATATGGCTATATTCCTTGCAACTAAGTTTGTATGTTTCTTTTTCTTGTCACCTTGGTTGGCCCTACCAATTTGGTACCTTGATTAACGATGGATAAAGTTGAGGCTCAAGGCTCAAGGTAGATGTGGAACTACATGTGAGAATGCGTGAGATTTCACATCGATCTGTCTGTACATACCGACGCAGACCGAGAAAACTATAGAATTACATTCATATAACATACATACACATACACATGCAGTATATATATGTATATATATATATATATATATATGGTCATGCATGTTGCCTCAGTCCATGTATACCTAGACCCTCAATTTTCCCAACAAGTGTACTTTCACCCATTTTTCTGGGTCAACCGAGGGTCATGCCAGTAGGTATTGATGCATTGGATGCCGAAACTCGAAGGCTCGAAGGCTTGAAGAGTTTGTGAATCTGCGACCTTTCTCCCTGCCTGCGCCTTTTCTTCTTCTTCTTTCTTCTTCATCTGGGAGTCAGACACGCAACAACTACCCTCTGGCTATTTAACATAGCCATGCAAAATCACCATGTTTAATAGGTAAACCATCTATAAATGGGCCATCTATACCATGGCTATGTTAAATAACCACAGGGTACGAGTACCGGGAATATGGAAAAAACGACCACAGCCGGCCCCGCTGTGATTGTGTACAAAACAGCGAAGTGGTCGTTGATGGATGTCAATATCTCCATGCAACTGTGGTAGAATTGGTTTTGACCTCCTGGAAAAACGGACTAGCTTATCAGGCTGATAGGATTTCCCACAATTGATCGCGATAATCACCTATATGATCCAATTGGATAGTCTAATCCCATTTTTCATATCATACAACGATCAAATATCAGCCAACCATCTTTTGTAGACTATGTCCAACTGAAAAAGCCCCATATTTTGATGCTTTAACTCATCATCCACCGGGTGTGCCTCAGCAAGAGCCTCCTGGTCCAGCTTGTCGCACTCAGCGAGCTGCATGGGACCCGTGGTGAGCCAAAAGGGAAGGATGCTGGTCGCCATGAACATGGCCGACACCGCGTACCTGGAGATCAGCAAATTCCAAAGTTCAAGTTCATGGACCATGGTGTACCAGACTTACCATGCACACAAATATGGGAATTCTTTAGCGGGTACAGTACTTAAATGTACTTAGTACTTATCCCAGATGAAGTTAGCACCAGACTCAAGGGGCCTAACCCAGGATTCATGGCACCGATCGCGTGGCGGAGATAGGATGCCGGGTTTATACATGGTGGCTGATGATATTACATAAATTATAATATATATATATGTATATATGTATCTGTATATACATATGTCTAAAATTATATATATATAATTATATATATACAATCATATACATAGCTAACATGAACTAAGTTAATGGAATCAAACGGATTAGTGGGGAGTTTAATATGACATATGACATATTTATTATTTCTGTATGTATGTATACATATAATATATATATATACGTACGTATGTACTTACGTAGGTACGTACCTACCTACATACATGCATTACATTACATTACATTACAGTACATTACATTAAAAGTACATTATATTGCATTACATTATATTACATTGCATTAAAATTGCATTACATTACATACATACATTACATACATACATATTATATATATATGTAAACTGATTATTATTTGGCTAAAATATAGGTGGCAATATAGCCCACACCTCATAGCTGCGCAGCAAAACTGCAGGTAAGTCGTCGACTTCTGGGATGCCCATATGCTAACAAGATTGGTGTGCTATGTGTACCAACACTCTCCAACATTTAACCTAAAAAAGGCCCATATAAAACATAAAATACACACACACTGTTTATAATATATATATACACATAATTTTGATATAGATAAAGAATGAAGAGAATATAAACTCCCTAAAAATGGCCGGTATGTTGGTTGAACATACCACACATGGAACCCCGGTTTTTTTTTGCGCCGCCGAGAGCACGGTGCCACGATGCGAGCATAGCTCGTAGCTTCACCAAAAAAGATGGCGCCTCGCCCGAAGAATGGCTATAGATGGTGGGGAGATCACCAAAAAGTAAGGGTCAAAGGTGTGATCACAAAGATTCAGTATGATTCAGTAGTGGAATGCTGTTGAATACTGAACATTGCTCAAAAATCTGTGATCGCCTGGGTCTAAAGTTTTGACATTTACAAGACTAGATGGGAAACCAAAAGAAAACATATTTCACGCCAAACACATATCCAAGAATGGAAAGTCAACCAACAAAAAATGGGATCTTCGGGACGGGATCTACTGTAAATTTTGGATCTGTGTAACAATAAACAACCACACATGTGGGTATAGTGTGCTCTCATCGTAATCCCAGCAATAGCTGGAAAAGGTCTTTCCATGAGGCGAAATTCATGCTTTGTCCAGGAGGTACGTCATCAATGTTGACGTGGAGGTTTCCTGAAAAGGAGGTACCCCTAGTCATCATCCAGTTGATTCTCGGATTTTCCATAAACCAACCAGCTGTTGGGGATCCCCCACTTATCGAACCCCCCGACGTGTAGACCCCATCGCGCAAGGTGCTGTAGAGCCAACTGGTGATCGCCCCAGAGATGAATCCCATCCTCAATGCAGGTGCCAAAAGCTGATGCGAAGCCCTCCAACAACTGATGTGATAACCAAGCATCAGTTTTCTGTAGAGTTATATAATGTTATTACAGTGTTATTACAGAGTTATATACTGTTATATACAGTTGTATCCCCACATGTTCATACTTAAAATATCCCCACATGTTAATGCTTCAATCCTCTAGAATTAGTCTACATAATCTACATATGGTTATGATCCTCAGATCAGCAATAGCCAAGTCTCAACTGGGCCATGGCTTGGTACTTGGCGTTTGTCTCCTTCGTTGACAGCGTTTGGATCAGTGGTTTCAAAACGGAAAAAGATGGGGAAACAATGGTGATGTTCACCATCAACACATGGGGATTTAATTTGGTTGTAACCATGTGGTCAACTAACAGTTCGCGACTGAAAATCACCTTTAAAATACTAGATAAATCATGCATTTTCATGGGCCATGTTTCACAGCTATGTTAATTTACTGGAGGGTAGGTCAAGAGTCAAGGCAAGAATTGTCGTGCATGGGCACATATCATCATATACATTCATACACATTAAACAATGTCGTAGACCTAATAGCAAAGCATAGGGTGTGTTTCCACTTGGGAAGATTCCCCTTATCATCTATGATGAGGCTGGCCAGTGAGGAAACTGCGTACAAGATAGTTTGACCGAACATGCCGGAAAACTACATACAACGGTAAGCCAGTATGACAAGCCCAACGGTAAACCTCCAATCGAGGAAAGCCTAAAAAGTTATAGCAATTAGTAACCTTCAAAAGATCAAACAGCCATTTGCTGCTCTAGTTCACTAGTATGGGATCTTAGTTTTCTGCATTTTTTTCAGAGGTTAGTTATGTCGTAAGGCCCTCAAGCCCCCCTCTAACACACAGCAAAAAGGTGATGGGTGGGAAACAAACATGTTTGCCCTCTCCACATATGATCTATTCTCATCTATTATCTGGTGAGGAAACTGATGGGAAATTGAAATATTGAATTAATATTGAATATTTAATCAATAATAGCTGTCCATTTAATGGGACCTTCATAGTTTATCTATTCTCATTAGTAGCTCTCCATTTAATGGGCAATTGAAAAATATTGATACTGATTGCTCCAAACTGCTCCCTCCGCACCTGCCCCACGAGGCGAATTTCCACGGCTTGCAACAAAGCTGGAAAGCCACTTAAGGGCAGGTGCATCAAACCGCCCAGCAAGGGATACCTGGGAAGGGAGGGCCTGAGACCCGGAGATCCAAGGGAATCTTAGTGACTTAGTGGCTGATGTTAGCTGGGTTTTGGGTGATTTTAGGGGCGATATGATTTACGATAACCAAAATTCCAAGGATGTACATGATGTATTTGAATTATGGGGATGCGGCTTTCCCTGGAAACAGAAGAAACTCGGATGGAACTCACAAAAGCGCCAGAGGGAGAAACCAAAAACTGGAGGTATAGGACCAGTAAAATGGCAGGTAAGAACTGGTATTAGTACAACTAATAGCATTTGGACATGGTCGCCTGTGTCACTCAGTGACTGTGCTCCGAGAACCTACGGGGCTTGTTGAGAACCATACTCTGTATCTTCGAAAGCCCTTGAATATTCAATATGTTCAGAGCGAAACGCATGGGCTCAGACAGTCATCGCAGGTAAACAAAGGTAGCAACGGAAGGTCGCAATATACATCTATAATATTCTGTCAAAGATCAAACAATTAGATTAGATGAAGCACTGCAACTATGGTAGTACTCACGTCTTAGCCTCTGTTACAATCCAAATCTCAGTATTATGATTTGCCAATTATACGTATAATCATAATGTATTCTTATTCTCCAGGTCATAGATCAAACATGACAAAACTGCCCTTCTATGAATGAAACCACTGCCAAAGTCGACCGCCAAAGTCGGTGTTTCGACTGGTTTTTTGGATCCGCTAGCCGCTGGTCGTCCAAGTAGCGGAATGCCAAAGATGGTGACTGGCATCCTGACGAAAAGTTGGCGGTTGAGACCATTGGTGCTTCGGAATCCTCGCAGTGCCCTGTAGTGACAAGCGTAAAAACACCCTTGTCATGAGGCTGTTGTGAGGGGATTCCCGACTTGATTCCAAATCATCTACCCAAACCATAGGTTGAATCACAGCAGGGTATTATTGTCAATATTGTTAGAGGGAGTCCGAGTTGCAAACCTTTTCCACAATATGTTAAACGTCTTGCCATGTCTTGCCCTCATTTGCAGTTTGCGGTTTGGCAGTTCTGACTCCCATCATGAGTTACTGATCCCGGCTGATGGTGATCAAAAGTGACTCTAACTCAGCAACTGTGGCACACTGTGGGGATACGCTTCAGAGAGAAGAGCCGCAAAAATAGAACAAAAAAGGCCTGAATTCCCTGAAATCCACATGATGTCTGCGTGGCAAATGACATATCTGAAACAGCAAACAACCTCGACCCTCAAGAGCTGGGGAGAACGACAATCCGAGGTCACCGGCTCCCTTGTTCCGCCGAAAAATAACCCCCGGAGTCGCTGGTTGAGTGGATTCAAATGGAACGTCTATTCGATTCGTGTCCTTTATTTGAAGTATGAAATACCCGGGTGGTATTATATCAGCTTGTTGTTCCGCTGACAAAGAGGAGGTACAAGCTTTCACGAACTTCCAACAGTTCCCTCCCTTGAAGCAAGACACAAGAAGGCGTTCATGATGCTAGTGCTCCTGGCTACCGGATCTTGGTGCAAGGCTCCGTATCACATATTTGCTCCTTGGTTTTGAGGAAAAGTTATAAGACTGCAACTTGAAACGTTCCTCTGTATGTCTAAATTTGGGAATTCTGCTCAGATTGTTGAGCCAATAGCTGGTTGTTCTGAAAGAAAACCTACACTGACCGCCAGACGAAGGCAGCACCAAAAGCCCATAGGTTTCCTGCCAATTTTCCACTCGGATCATCGCCCGCCTATGAAAGAAGAAGCAGTTCTGCCAGACTTTTCGAGTACCATGAGCCCGACCTCTATGATTTTTTGTGGCGCCATGCGGGGGAAAAAACCACCCGATCAAGTCCTAGGGCTAATGGGGAATGGAAAAACATGGGACACTCCCACCTATAAAATGGATTAAAATGGGAGATCCCCCACAGCCACATTGCCGGAGGGACCCGGAGGGTACATGTCCGAAATGTTGATGCGACTTGGAATTCGAGAATGCTAATGTTTGTAAAAGGAACGGCATCTTCTGCTGCGTGCATGTTGATTGAAACAAACATGTTAATACAATATATGTTTGATTCCACGTCGGCCTTGAATGGAAAATCGGCGCCCCGAACCTCATCCACTTTTGGAATATCCCATATGATTGCTGCTCAAGCTCAAGTGCCAAATTAGTCCCACTAGTATCCATGAATGACACAGTATCCCATTCAATCCCAATAGTTTGCTCGTTTCGTGCCCCCTATTTGTTTGTTGGTAAAATCCAGGATTTAAGTTATGGATACACCAATGTCATATTTTTAGCTACATCCCCATAATCCATCATAATCCCCCATGTACAATATCCCCATAAAAATAGTTGGCTTATAATACCCCCATTATTCCCATGACATCCCAATATCTTCCCTCATCAAATATCGCCCATGAAATGATTGGCTTATACCCCCATTCTTGGTAGGCAGACCCCATTTTTGGACAGGCCACATGCTGTGGTACTTAGATGCGCCTTGGAGTTAGCCAACTGGTTTGCAACCCTGTAAAATATTTTATAACATCTTATAACTGGGTACAATGGGTATCAATGGGTTACAACCTACTGGCTAACCAAATAACTCATTTCATGGCACGCGAAGCTTCGATACCATGCATTTGCTGTTTGGCTGGTTTGTACCCCCAATACCATCTGGTCATTCAGCCAAGGAACACCCGAGATGATTTGCCAGAGGCTCCAGGACTTAAAAATGAAGGTAAAGAAGTCCCCCCTTGAAAAATGTGGTAAACCCAATTGGTTATAAAATGTTATAAACATCCATAAACCATCCCATTAACCACCCGGTGGTCATGAAAAACATCATCCATAAACCATGGATGGTGACCATGGCATCCCACCGGCGCCAACCGAGGTGCAGAGTGATGCCACAAGGCCACCTAAAAGCACGCCACCCACCAGCTGAGGAATGAACTGGAAGACCAGCGCATGAAACCTCAACAACTTTTGCTGGATTTGAACATAGGATATCGAAAAAAAATGTGTATGTATATATATATATAGATATGGAAAAAATGTATATCAATCTATATTTCATGCAAACCCATTCAATGGATTTATGGATATATATCTGGTTGGTGGCTGACCTACCCCTCTGGAAAATGATGGAGTTCGTCAGTTGGGATGATGATATTCCCAATATATATTTATGGAAAAATAAAAAATGTTCCAAACCACCAACCAGTTTTGTGTAAAGCCCCAAAGATCTTGGATGATCTTGGGGTCAATGCTGCCGATCTGCCCATCAATTCTGGGATCAAGGGGTTTTTGTACCCCAATAGCTGGATGGTTTCCAATGGAAAATCTGAGAATAAAATGGATGATTTGGGGGTACCCTCATGGATTGGAAAGCTCCATATCTACACTTGCCGTGCATGCATACAGTACAACTACCTCTGTGCTGAGGACAAGCGCTTGGCCCAGGAACTGTCGGCGATCCCAAAAAAAACGTGCGGAATGCGTCACCCCCTCACAGGTGACTAAACCATGTTTGCAAACTAAAAGGGTGACTTTCCATGTTCATTGATGATAAACCAAAGGGTGGCGCAGTCACATTCTGCTCGAAGATCTCAAAGTACCAATTGGTGGAATGCCGCAATGCCCATTCCTGATGGTCAAACCATGTCAAACCCCTCTACACCGCTGACTTGCCCAACTTCACCGGTCAAGACACTGAGAAAATTGAAACCTCAGGTGAGTCAGTCGACTACTGCCCGACCCGAGGACCCAAACATGGGCTGTGCTCCTATGTGCACTAACCCTCAACCAAAGACAAATTGGTACTTCAGGGTGGTTCTGGGGAGTGTGAGTATGTTGGCTGGTATGGTCTTATGTTGATGTTCAGTTCTATCCCCATGTTTTCATGGCTATATCCCCACCTGTTGTGCAATGAGTAATTGCTATTGCTAAACAGCAGCTCAACCACACCTTGAAAGCAGTAAGTAGACAGTGCTGAGTGGTGAAATGGGCCAATCAATCTCAGTCAATCTTAGTCATGTTCAACTCTCTGCATGATTTAAACATTGAATCATTGTAACCTGGCGATCGCATGTCTGTTTGGGTGCCACTTCATTGATGCCTTGAAATCTGATTTGTTGCACTGTTTGGGTGACTCTTGCAGTCTCTGATGGAACAAAAGTTGAGTACTGCTGCCATCATCCCTGGCTGCACTGCCATTTCTCTAGGATTCTGGATGACTATCCAACTTGGTGGCTAGTTTGCAACAATAGATGAGAGTCTCAGTTAAAAGTCATGTTTAAGTCGAAAGAGTTATATATTTGCTATATGGTTAACTTAGCCCACTTGATATCTCCGCTTAACACATGCACTGGGAATGTTGCTGAACATGATTTTCCTGTTTAAACAGCACTTTCAAAGGATTTTATCTGCAGGTTGCACTGCTGTGCGGCTGTGCGTTCTGTGCGTTGCATCGTCAGATTCCAGCTTAGCGACTGAGCCATCATGAAGGGCATGCCAATGGCACTGCAATCTGCCAACCTTGGAATGTGCCCCCGGAGCCGGGGCCGGGGCCCCGGGGATGGATAGCCACGTCCAGCAAAGCCATGTCCCATGTGTTACACACTAAACTCGATGAGAACCATTGCTTAAACATGGTTGGTTCATGTTGGTTCCCAATCCTCACCGGGTTGGTTCTGGGAAATTCTACTGAAAACCCCTAGATTGTTACCAACTATGGAACTTTCCTGTCGATTATCCCTGCAAGTCTGGGAAGATCGAAGCAAATGAAATACCCCCCAAAGTCCTACGATACATTGCCAATCTGTAGATACTCCTTTCAGCTCTGTAGGTTAAGATCACCGAACCTGACACCAACGCGCTCCGCAATCCAAGTGCGTAACTTGACTAAGAAGTCCTCAGCCAGGCGATAGCCGACATAGGGATGCCTCAGCACCACTGCAGAATCATCAAAACCATATCATAGGAGTTTGGGTAACCATTAAGAATAACTTTAAAAAAAGTGGCGATAAATTGACTGCTGTAAAAATACTGTGATTTTTGTGTGTGTTGGGTGACCATTAAACATGTTCAAAATCCATCCCTTCGTGCAGATTCTCTGTGGAATCAATGGGAACGTGGTGTTTTTTTGCTCATCGACAGAGTCCAGGTCGCGCCAAAAAAGATGCCTGTGGTGAAACCCCACCCGACTCCATGTTTGTTGGGCCTGTCGTTGAAATTCTTGAAATGTCATTGAAATCCTTATCTTTATCGCTCAAGTTCCCATGTTCATCGAGGTTTGACAAGAAAATCAAGGTAAGTGACTGTTTTCAGTTGGATAACTTCCCCAGGTTTGCTTGATTCCACCCCAACTTTTGGCTGATTCAAAGGGGCCTAGCACGACTCGTAGATATTCCCATGGCCAGGCCACGTCTTGACGATGGTGCGAAAGGTCTTCATCTCATCCAACGCAACACCTGGTGGGATCTCACCATGAAGGGATCGCGTCATTGAAGGATCAGCTGTGAAATCAAAAAAAGAGAAATGTTGTATTTCCAAGATGATAAACGCTATATCATAAGAAGAATATAGAAGTTCTGCTGCAGAATCAAACATACGTAAAACCGGAGTACTGACTACAGTACAGTTAAGAGAAATTGTTGCTGGAAACCGTGGAAAGCAAGACCTGCGGCATGTGCAAACCTCTTCATTCTACCTAGTCCTTGGAGTTTTTCTGAAATCGACTGGCCAGCCAACAAATGAGGGAAGGCAAACCTGGGGCAGCTTTTCCAGTTCGACAAGACCCACACCTGCGATAGAAGTGGGTTTCTTCTTCAGGTCCTCTTTTTCCTTTTCACTTTTCCTGGGGAGAAAAAAGATAGGAATCCCATCCCCCTAACAGTCCCTATAGGAATCCCATTCCCCCTAACATTAAACAACCACAAGAAACCATGCTTTGATAGGGGAAACTTTCAGGGGATTCCACATGGGGACCATGAAATGGGGGTGATCATGCCACAAAGCGGTCTCGCTGAGAATTCTGAGGATGAGGATGACCAATTTCATTGTCCAATGAGCATAATATCAATATCAAGAAGCGAAATGCTGTGTATATATAAATTAAACAATCTAATCAATATATATATATATTACATATATATATATATTATATAATATATTATATTATATTATACAAAATATATTACAATTACTGTTGTCATCATTATCATTATTATGTGAAATACTGAGCATCGTCACCATCACGAGGTCATGACAGCCCACTTCCGGAAAACATTATCCGCATTCCGTCAGTCTCAGTGCTCGCTGAGAAGCGCCCTCAGCCCTACAGTCATGCCACCAACCATGAGGGATGGGCATTGCTCATTCGTATCTGTGTCCACCTCTTCCCATTGCATTCAGATCTAAGTATCATCTCCAAACTTGGGATAACTTGGGTTTGTTTTCACATGAGTATATTCAACAATGGCCATAGTGGGGAGAAGGATGATCAAGCAGTAGCAAGCATCAAAGTTCATGCCTGTCCCATATATTTTCCAGGCACCAGACATCCCAAGAAATTCGCCGCGGAGGTTCTTGTGGAGGGTCTCTGGAAAGAAGAAAAACACCAAGACCATGGCGAAGGTGTTCAATGACACGATCCCAGTCCAGACCTGTCAATCCACACACAACGCCTCTGGGCCTCTAGGCCCCCGTGTGACCATCACCGACGTAAATGGTTTATGGTAGGTATATCTACTACTATGATCTATTCTATATGGTGATGATAATCCAACTTACAACTGTAATTATAACCCCCATGAGATAATTCCCTTGCTTTTCAAGGTGGCTGTGGTGCTGGGAAGTGGAAAAATTGGGGTGCTGATTGTGATATGATTGATATTCCATATAGGCAGCCAAGAAAAAAGGATGATGTTTGACGTTTGAGTGAACTACCCATGACTGGAGTGTCGGATCATGTTGAATCATGGTGGATTCCGACCCATAGCGATAAGCTGATAAGCCATGAGCTAAGCTCCATTAGCGCCAGCCAGTTCGACCCCCCTCATCCGAGTTGCCCATGTAAAATCCGTGATCTCGGCATACTGGACATACACGATGATGGGCACCAAGACTAGGCTCAGATTGGACTACTGAACTGAAGCACTAAGTCACTAAGTAGGCCAATTCCAAAACGAAGCAAGTGGTCAGAAAATCTGAAGATTAACATCCAATTCAATGGCAACTGCTGGATGTTACTGAACAGTCCAGGAATTGAAGGTGGAAGCAAAACTGGCAAATCGTCCGCTTGGTCTCGTGGGGGTCAAGGCGTTGCATATCCATTAGCTCAATTGATTTAGGATGTTGTAAGTTGTAAGCTTTGTGGATAACAGGACATCCAGTTCTTGATGCATTTATGTACGTTAAAGTTATATAGTTGTATAGTTATATATAGTTATATATAATTTGATGATTTACAGTTAGTTAGTTAACATTATAGTTTTTGATGGGTTTATAATAAGTCACAAGATACAACAGACCTCAGGCCCCCTCGAACTCCAGCATCCCCCGGCATCCGCGAGCGAAGTGAAGTGCCTCATGAGATCGCCGAGCGGCTGACCATCAAAAATGCGGAGACAATGCCTTTGCGACTGTACCTTTGCGCGGTCGAAATCGCTGAAGGGTTTGTGCAAAAATAGAATGCTGCTAAACTCTGCTTGACTGGTGATCTCACATTTTCTGTCCAAAACAAAGAGGATGTCATTGTCAAAAACTGGTTAAAACGCGTATCTCAATTTTGCGAAACACCCGAGATGGCTTCCCAGGGTGTGCGAAATGGTGGTGTTTCCTAGAAATGGATGCCAAGTACCCTCCTGTAATCAAACGTGGCAATGAAAAATCCTTTTCATGGGAAAACCATCTTAATATCTTAATCATAATCTTAATTAAAAATGGGATGATGATCTTCTTCAACTTCATGCCACAGGTTTCCACAACCCCGAACCCTCTTTACCATCCTCGCTCCAGTTCACCGCAAGGAAGGAGCACTTGTGGCCGCCACATTGCGTTTCCATGAACTTCTCGATCTTGTCTTTACACCTTGACTTGCAGCTTTCTGGAGGAAAACCATGTCAGGAACGAGACCTCGGCATTGGTCCAAATGCTGGATCTCAAACTCCATCACCGGGCGATAGATATCTGACCATTGGATTCCATTTTTGATCTTCTTGGGGTCCGTCTCGATGTGACCCCAATCATTCATTGCAGTCCAACTGTGAACGAGTGCATGGAAGATGTTGTGGGTGGTGAAGAACACTGGCCCTGTAATTTTGTCCGTTGCTTTGCTGAAATCAATGCCATTCGCCACCAATCACTTTTGATTGCGCCCCCATGGTAGAGGTAGGGGTGACCTTTGAGGAAGGGCACGATTTCCTCCAACTTCACCTCCTGGCAATTCCTTGCAACGTGGACGATCTTCATTGCTGTTAAAGCTCACGTTCTCGTCCCAAACGTCCTTCCCAGGAGACCAGACCACTTGCTGAAACACACACACGCACAGTGGATGAAATCCCCATAACTGCAGTAGTTTAGACATAGCCTTTCAAAAGTGTTTCCAATTAACTGAACCCCCTGAATCTATGCCTGTGGATGGATCAAAACTCCGATTAGCACTTAGTAGGGACAACACTCTACAAGCCACAAGTTGGGGGCATCCTTTTTGCGTTTCGATCCATACCAATATCCGCCGGCCCCAGCGATGAGCAGGGGGAGCGCGTCAGAGAAGAAACGTGGTTCCGGGCTTTGATGTTTTTCGGAGGGTTTCAGGAAGCGACATCAGCAACTCAAGCCTGGCGGTGGCAGGGCAATGTCAAAGCTGCACCTTGGTGCTGTGGTAGCGTGGCGAGGCCAGGCATTGGGATGCAGCCGTTTTGAAAATAGGACATGGTTATAGGCAACATTTTGCTCACAGGAATTGTTGATGAGGTGGAAAGAAGTGGACTGAACTGAGTTGAATTGAAATGAGATTGACATCGACATGAAAATGAAATGAAATGAAATGAAATTGAAATGAAATTGAAATGAAATGAAGGAACCAAAAATTGAAATGCATGAAAGAGTGAACGCAAGAATGAACCTATGGAATGAAAGGAACGAATGAAGGAATGAGTGAGTGAATGAATGAATGAAGGAAGGAAGGAACGAACGAACGAACGAATGAAAAGAACGACTGAACGAATAAACGAATGAACGAACAAACGAATGAATGAATGGAATGGAATGGACTGGAGTGGAATGAAATATGGAATATGGAATATGGAATATGGAATATGGAATATGGAATGGAATATGGAATGGAATATGGAATGGAATATGGAATGGAAAATGGAATGGAATATGGAATATGGAAAATGGAAAATGGAATATGGAAAATGGAAAATGGAATATGGAATGGAATGGAAGGGAAGGGAAGGGAAGGGAAGGAGGGAAGGAAGGAATGAAGGAATGAAGGAATGAAGGAATGAAGGAATGAATGAATGAATGAACGAATGCATGACCGAAGGAACGAACGATCGAACGAATGAATGAATGAAAGAAAGAAAGGAAGAATAAATGAATGTTTTCAGCCTCATCGGGCGCTCACAAAAGCGATGAAACCAAAACATTTTTTCGACCTCACTTTCCAAAAGTGCCCCACGCCCATCAGTGTCATACGATTTTTGGGTGAAATCGCGCTCTCGCTACAGTCTCGCGCACATTTTCTCGACCTCATCTTCCAAAAGTGCTCCGTGCCCCTCAGTTATTTTAAGATGTTCAAGTGGAAATCGAGCTCTCGCTACAGTCCTGTGCGCTTTTTGTCGGCAACTTTGCCCAATCGAGCCGCGCACCCGCGGAAACAGAGACCCTCTCCTTCGGCGACCAAGGCAGCCACTTTACCGGAAAAAAACACAGGGTTTCGCGCCCGAGAGCGTTTTCAAGCCTGAATTCAGGCGTTCCCGATCTCTTACACTTCCCAACTACTTGATGATGATGTTGTTGTCATGATGATGTGGTTGACAGGATGATTGACATGATGATGTGGCTGCCATGATGGTGAGAAAGCTGGCCATGACAATCGTCCGTAACTCGGAAGTTTCCTAACTAAATTTCCTTTGATTCAATACATATATATATATTATATATTATATATATAGTTCATTATAATTCATCATAGAGGTGAAGACAACAAAACCATACAAAACCGTCAAGTCATCTCACCTCGACGCCGTATTTCTTCCAGTCCGCTCAGTCTGCGATCACCCGTGGAGGTGCTGAGACTCGTGGACGGTCAGATGTTGAGAGTTGAGCTGATTGCTTGAGCCACATTTGGTTGTCGGACACGCAAGACAAGTATGTTGGGGAAAACACCACGTCTTTTTTTGTGCGCTGACTCTATTCTCGCATGTTTCCTTCAAACAAAGCAACGCTTGGGAGGATTTGGAATTCTGAATACTTTCGATGCAGCCGAAGTGCACCCCAACGCCATCGTTGAGGATGAGCGCCACATCGCCGGTGACGATCCTTGGCGCGGTTCATTTCACCCTGGTGCAACTGTGAATCTTTCCGATGCGTCTGGCACGTGAAAAATTGACGGCAGTTTCTTAACCCCTCCACATGCAATTCTGGGACACATTCTTTTGCAAAAGAGTCACAAGTTCATCTGTGGGGTCCAAAGATGGAAATTTTGACCCTCGCTCATTCTTGTTCATTGACCAATTATTCGACTAACCGCATTTTATATTATGTAGTCAATGTAGTCCAACGATGACTAGAAAGTCTCTGAATGTGACCAGTTCAAACTTTAAACATATTATTGAGCTGACCAAAATCGTATAATGAAAGGTCCAGAAACTGAACAGCTGTGGTTAATCTATGGTTAACCCATGGTTAATCTGTGGTGAATCTGTGGTTAATCTATGGTTAATATATGCCCGTGCCAAAACCGGTATGCCAAGTCGCTGGTCTAAGATGCCAATGCCACTCATCCTTAGCACGGTAGATTCGTCAGTTGGCACCTCCAAAAAGTGAAAGGTGCTGCCCGACTTTTCGCTAAGTTGCTTTGTTCCACTAACATTGCACTAGAATTTGTGGATATAACATGACATAACATTATATTATTATATTTGCATATAGTTATATAAGTGGGGTTGTAAGCCAACTTATAATTGGGGGCAGCACCTTGTGTAGACAACATGTTGAGATTAAGTTTATGGCTGGAAAAAACTGGAAATGGCCAAAGCCAACAGGTTCAGACATGTCATACAATATCTAAATTGAACGCGTCCTGAATGGTACAGGAAGGGCCCCATCCAATTGTAGATCTATCATATCTGGTATATCGGTAAATCCATTATAAACCACACAACTAACCAACTTGACCTAGTGGTGAAGTTATACAAAAACCAAGTATATCCAAGTTACCCATGTAGGGGATCCTTCCTGGATGCCCTGCACCAATAGAACATCATCCTGATGAATCCTACATCAAAAGCAACCAGCAAAAAGATTGATTTTAGTGTACGTTCACTAACTATTCTAGTAGGATTTTACAGTAGCCTTCAAAAGGCCAACCTCCAACAATTTGCCCCACATCGACATCGCCATCTGCAGCTTTGAATCCCTTGCAGCCCTTGTGCCAAGATGTAGGTTGGAATGGCTAATCCTTCGATTGTCTGCGTCATGGCGGCCATGGCCGCAGAGAATGGAACTTTCAACAAAAAAATATGGCCCAAGAATATCTGGTTGGTGGTTTCAACCCCTCTGAAAAATATTAGTCAGTTGGGATTATTACTCCCAATATAATCAGGGTTCAGATAAGGGGGGAGGAGTTGTGCAGATGGTTTTGGTAGATACAAAGCGGAATGCATAGGGTGCACAACTACAAAATGCAGTGCATGTTACACTTTTTTTGCAGCTACAAAATGAAGAACATAACTCTTTCTGGCTCGGAAAATAATTCAAAACCAGTACTACAAAATCCAATGCATCTGAAGTTAAAAAAATAGCTGAACGTCGGAATTGACATTTTGTAGTTGGGTCTTTGCCATCCAAAGTTCCGACCAACATAAATTCGGAGAACATTTTGTAGTTGTCAATGATTGAATTTAGTTGGATCAAGTGTTGACCCCGTGAATTTATGTTGGATGCTTCAACTAACTCAACAAATATACAAACTACAAAATGAAAATGATGATTTGAAAGGAATCAACTACAAAATGATTCCAAATACAAAATGGGGGGCACAACCCCTCCTGTTTGTACAAAAAAATCCTGGCTGGCAATCTGTACTGTAGCCCAAGTCCTCCCCATTTCGTAGCTGAAATTTGAAGGTGGATCCAATATATGGAAAAATAAAAAATGTTCCAAACCACCAACCAGATATGATACTGAAGAGTGATTGAGGCGATTGATCCAAACTAAGGGCGGAACATGACCCAATGAAATATGTATTGGCATTACCCCTGAGAAACTGAACAAGCGATGTTGAAGATGTCCCTTCACATAGACGCCAAGCCAAATTTGTTGTGGTGGGCTGTTGATCACGGTCTGAAGTCTGGGTTTGCGGGGGGGGCGACAACCTGACAGTTTTGCTTGTGCAATCATGTCGGCATCCAGCATGGCTTCCATACAAACATCACTGCTGCTTGAGCTACATAGTTTACATGTTTTTCCCATCTTATCGAACAAAGATTCTTAAACATCCTCCCAAGACTCCAAGTTGTCTCCCCAGTTTCGGGTCATGTTGCTTATCTTCTGGGTCTCTTAGTGCACTTCAAAACAGGCTGCAGGAACTGGAAGCTGGAAGTCAAACCATGTTTCACAATGTTTCTATTGTCATGTTCAATCTTAGATACCCTAAAAAGAACTGCTCAGAGGCTTACTATATAATATCTCCATGGCATTATATAGTATCATAATGCATTATAATGTAGCAACAGGTTATATAGACTGCTAAAGCACCATATCGACCTTGCTAAGGGCAAACCTAAGGTCTACACAGACACTACTACACTGAGATACAGCTGGAATCTCTTCTGGAACCTCCCGATCAGGCCTTGTGGAAGGAACATGGCCACTGCAAAAAGCGCCGTAGATAGTGTGATCAGAAACCTCCGACAAGGCATAGCCAATAGGAACTTGAAGTTTGAATCTCAGTGAGAGGATCCTTGACAAAATTATCTGTTTTTTCCTCCAGCAACAACATGCAACTAAATGAGACACCGAAACATTTTAGCAGCACAGCTGCTTCTACTATGCCAGCAGTCCTCAATACCTGGATATTCCCTGGCAGTGGCTCCTGATCCCCGAATCATGAATCTCAGCTACAAGTAGTAGCTATCACAGGCCAAAGGCACTGCCCCAAGAGCGCAGCGCGTTTCCGGCCATAGTCTGCAAAACCACTTACGAACCTCAGTTGTGATCGATGTTTTTGTGCCATTCAGGCCTTGATATGTCCAACTTTCCAACCTTTGTTGCGGCCCAGGTTGATTTTCTAAGCGATCTGCCTGGTCCCTCTGGCAGTCAAACGCTGGTAATGGAAAATCCCAATTTTCAATAGGTATAATCTACAAATGAGGAATTTAAGGTTGGAATACTTACCCAGGTCTCTAAACACGGAACAATAACCTGACCATTCAGTTGGCGCTAGGCTAGGTGAAGGTTGCGGAACTTGAGTTGCATGAACTCACTTGGGGTCCATGGCTGAACCCCGCAGCCAATGCAGCAATCTATCGTTATCAAGCATTCATCGATTGATATCTAACCGTTGTGTAATTACACAACCATTATCCCACGTTCTCCAACTATTTAGGTCTATGCAAGGCCTAAGTCTCCTCACAAGGCATGGCCCTCTGTGATTCAGGTCGCCAAGGGACAGGGTGATGAGGATCCGTCCAACCTCGACACGGGGCTGCAACACTTGGGGAGAACATCAATGAAGGTCACTTTGGGGAGCTTACCCTCTGGTAAACTAACATAGCTATTGAAAATGGTGATTTATAGTGGATTTACCCATTAAAAATGGTGATTTTCCATAGCTATGTTAAATTACCAGAGGGTAACCCATACACCCTTCCAGTCAACCCTTCAATGCCTGACAGAGCCACAATCTCAAAACTGCGCCGGCTCCCGACTCAAAATCACTTCATCAATGGGCCTTTACCGGTCACCCAATCACTAAGCACACTAAGACACTAAGCCACCAGCAACCATAGCTGCCCCAAGTCCCAAGTGGATGACGTCACCATCGGGGTCAACGGTCACTGCATCTGCCTAAGGCCCCAGGCGTTCTCGAGACTCTGGCCCTTGCCAGAGACATGGGTGCCCATGTCAATGACGTACAAGCGATTCCTGGACGCAACGTAGCTGACGTAGCTATCTTTGGATTTGGGCAAAGCCTTGGGAAAATAGAGCTAGAATTCGACCACGTCTCTCTGAAAGACACCATTTTGAAGATACCACTAACTAATCATCATTTGAGCCATTATATACCCTATCTGATTAATTGCACTGTAGTTGGTTGATGGGTATGGGTTTCCCATTCATAATCCCCAATAATCAGGTAGTATAACTCCTTATTTCATAAACCAACCAACAGTTGGTGGAAGCTGGATTTGCCCCATTTCTACAGCCATCACCATGGCTCATTGTTAAGGGTACATGAGGTGGTTCAGGCATTATAATTTATGGTCGCAACACTAACGGGCAAAATTCACTGGACTTTTTTTTTACATAAATTACACCCATAAATTGCCAGTGAATTTGTGGCAAACCACCGTCCCAATGATCCCCCTTTTACATCATCCCAGAGACCAACTGACCAAGCGACCAACTTCGGCCAAGTTTCCCACAGTACTTCGAGCCTGAGAAAGCGCTACCTGCCACGGAGTCGTCACGGTGTGGGCGTTGCCATTCACACAGCGCCCCAGGTGACTGTGGGATATCAAACATCTTTTCTACATAGTTCGGAATGAACCCACCATCAGACAATTAAATCTTGACCATGGAAAGAGACCCACCACTTTAAAATGAAACAAGATCACAAGATCATCTGTTTGGTGGTTTCAGACCATTGAAACACCTGCCCATAAATGACACCCATTTCTTGGGATAAAGACACATCAATGACACCAGTTGTCCATCGGTTCATGTTCGGTTCATGTTAAGATGATCCTAAATCATTACTCGAAAAGCTTCTAGATATGTGTCAAAAAAACCTTTCGAAAGCTTCAGAATCACCAGTTTCAGCCAGTTCTGGTTGGTGGTTGACCTACCCCTCTGAAAAATGATGGACTTCGTCAATTGGGATCATGATTTATTCCCAACTTTTCATGGAAAGTCATTCATAAAATTATATAAAATTCATGTTTGAAACATTTTGAAACCACCATTCCCCAGCAGTTTTTCATAACGCCATCTTTTTCCGATCACCGGTTTCGGTTTCGGCCTTCCTCCGTACTCACCGGAGTCTCGCAGTGGATCAGCGATCTCGCATAAGGCTGCTCCAGTAGGTTCACCACGACGATACCTGGCGAAGCCACCGCGGCCACCGGTAACGCCACCGCGGCCACCGGTAACGTTGGTGAAGATAACTAGGATTTTCACTAGAGGTGAATTCTATGGTTTATGGTCAGTTTATGGTCAGTTTATGATATATATATATATATATATATCATGATATATCATGATATATCTATAGTTAATGGGTTTACAAAGCAATTTATAACTGGGGGGGCTCACCTTGTGGTACAGTCAAATGCGACCTGGCCACCTTTCTGTCAAAGCTCGCCTTTGGTGTCATTTCGGACCTGCTTATGGTGAATAACTTGGTTTTAGAACAAGATACACAAAAATCACACCCCTGATAATTGTATATGCGGTTTGTAGGTGTGGTTTATAACATGTTACAACATGTTACATGTTACTGTTACAACATGTTACAACGACTTACCCACATCCAGTGGGAATTTGGCAGGCCAAATTCCCAGTCCGAAAGATGTGGGAAATCTTGGGACATCATCCAGTGGAACATGAACGCGATCCAGGTGCCAACTTGAAGGGCTCCGAAACCAACTGGAATTACGCCATTGCACCTAAACCATCAATCAACTTAGAAAAATGAAGCATGTCAACCCCAACATTTTGGTTCATTTTGGTATTTTTATAATTTTTTATATATACGTTTTATACTTTTATAACCTGATCCATTATAGTAGCCAAGGAAGTGCTTCACCTCGTCTCATCCCTGCCAAGCAACTCACCCAGCAAAGTGTGAGAATCAAATACGTCCGAACCTGCAGGGAGTTGGGTCGTTCCGTTGAAGGGAAAAACCTGGTGAGATCTGGTTTTTTATGTTTTTTTGAGGTTTTTTGGGGGTCCAAAAAAAATTGCAGTGAATGTTGGAGTTCAACACCAAATTTTGCAAACGGTTTGATCCCTTCATTGGCCAACCATGAAAAGGGAAGGCCCACAGGAAATTTGTCGAATGCTGTCCGTTCATGTGGTTGCTGGAAATCTCAAGTTGACTATCCCAGTTGTCATATTGTGCAAATTTCTGTTATGGTTACATAATGTTATAGGTATCTACATTGTAGATGCAGGATTATGGTTACATGACGATAGCATCCTAACTGCGGCATAGAAAAGGGTGCAAGCCCTCTTGACCCAGATCGTTGATGCCAATCGTTTCATTTAAGTGCTGATCATCATGTAGTCACAATGTAGTCATGATAAATAATATGATAAATCAGGCCCCAACACTGGAAGTAAATCATCCAGAAACCATTCTTGTGTCTTCATCATTTGTTTTTTGTTCTCAGCCTCCAAAGGAGTAAAACCCAGGGGCAAAGCCATGGCACCGCGCTTTCACTGAGAAGCGGAGAAAATGCCACGTCAAACTGGAACAAACAGGACTTCTCTGCCGAGTACTGGAAATGGTAGTTGAAGGGATCAAATCAAATATGTGGCCAATTGATTTCCGAGAGATGGATAAAACTTTGAATAATTACCTATGAATTTACCAACTCCAGTCTAGTAGATAGCTTACGCTTTGAAAGGACATTAGACTTTAGACTCTCAAGTCTTTCACTGACGCCTGCCTTCGTCCAGCGGTATGAGTAGAACTCACTTGAAAACTCAAAGCTGGAACGGCTGGAAAGAACGTGGTTTTTACATGTCTTTACATGATTTCGAAGGATGAACTTCTCCTTTTGTGGAAATCGATGAGAACATTCAAAAGGTGATTGAAGCAATAGTAACACATCCCCAAGTCATCAGCATTTTTGTGGCTGGTATCAACCATCAATCCATATGGCTGGTATAACATTGATCATCTTTTGGATGCTTCCATTCGTGTGCTTTCTTGAGCCAGTACGCATGGATGCACCGCTTGAGGCAACTGGTGGTTTCAATCCAGCGCTTCGATCAGAGCCGCGGGGGACCATGATCCCAACGCCAACAAAAAACGATGCCTAGACCAACCAACATCCACCAACCAAATGTTTTATTATATTTAATGATAGCATAATATTAATCCAATCATTGAAAGGTTTGACATGGCTGATTCATAACACAACCTGGGAATGGGACCACCAGTTGTGCCAGTGACATACTCTGGGGCATCCAACAGACTTGCCAGCTGTAAACAGTGTAAACTTACCAGCCAAGAAACAACTTGAAATCCTCACATAGACTGACATAGACATTTATGACATGCACCAAAGCCTTAGCTTCAAATCCAGACTTCCTGCGAACCATCGAAGCTTTCACCTCCGGAGTCGTAGTAACCCAGTCTTCACTGCGTTCCCGGGCGACGCCGGCACGGTAGTGAGAGAAGACGGTATGAATGCTTGGGGCCTCCTGCACCATCCATGAGGATCCCTGCTAGGGATGGGCCCAATGTCACCACCATTTCAAAGTGATCTTAGCAAACTCCCGAAAAAGCGGTGACCGATGGCATCCGATGGCTTATAATTGTCTCGCCCCAATGGGGAAATATGATATGTATTTGATATGTATGGCTTCCTGTGTCCCCCAATCTTTGGTGCCTTGACAGCCTTGACATCCCCCATCTCCCACCCCTTCCGAACTAACCGCCTTGTTGAAGGCATTCAGCGAGATGAATTCCTTGATCAACGGCGAGGCCAAGGCCTTCACCTGCAGATTCGAGCATTCGCGGATTCTGTGGACCAAGTTGAAACAGATTCCCAGCACTTTCCGCAGATTTTCCAGTAGATTCCCTGAAAAATATACCAAAAAAACATGAATCCTATCTTAATTGGTGGATTTGACCATGGGAACATCAACGATTACAGCTATACTGTATACATCTGTATACATCTATATACCTGATTGAAGCGTTTTTTGGCCACTCGCGCCATCGAAGGACCATGTCATGACGGTGAGGCTCTGGCCATAGGCAAGACCGTTCGAGCATAGACGGTCACGGCCACTTTCAACTTGATGGCGTTCCTGGCGGGTCGACGTCGCTGGAAAAACCGATGGGCGGTGGTTAATGTGGTTAGTCACCACTAAGGATTTGCTGGGCCATTCTGGAATCGAACACATTCTCTTTTTTGATTCCCTAGTGGATTTCAGCAAATCCTGGGTTGGTAACCGTTGTAACCCATTGTATGGCCCATCTGAAGGCAAAAAAAATCTACCAACAAAAACCGAAGACCTAGGTTTGTCTGAAAATGGGGGATATGATGTGAATAGAATGGGCAGTTTATAATATAATGCTATAATATGATATATCACGGGGAAATCAACCAGTTGATGCGGGGTTTTACTAATAGCTGGCTGCAGATTTCGGAAAGTCCCATGGTCCCATTGGTCCCCAGCTCTCCAGTGATGGTCCCGTTGGGGTTGAATCCCAGCATGAAACCTCCCGGCTGCCATCCTTTGGCGATTTTGTTGAGCAAAGCTGGGGCCCGTATCTCACCATGTCAGGGCCGGTCTCTCCAGTCCTCCAAATCATGTTGCGACCTCGCTGTTACTCTAACAAAACTGCTGTGGGAAAGGGAATGGGAATGCAATCCAACTAATTCTAGACAGTTCTTTAAAAAAGGTACGACTTTGTCTTTTGGCTGCCTGATATACTGTATTCATACAAAAATTCTTTGCTATTAAAAAAAAAACGAACTATATAATTGGTAGCAATTTTGTTCATTGTCATATCCCATAGGATCCACGTATGCCATATATGGTAACATTTACCATCAATATACCCCAGTCATGTTAGTATATATACCATACATGGATCCTATGGGTATATCATTGTAGGCAAACCATCTAAACGTTTGTGACAGTCCGTTGCCACGTCACGTTATTTAAGCGAAACCGTTTTCGACCTGCAACGCTTCGAGGCTCCATTTTGCAACGTGGTGAAGCCACAATACGTAGCTACAAAGATTGTGAAAGATTGGTACAAGTACCAGATGTTTTACTGGTTGGTGGTTGAAAAACCCTCTGAAAAATATGAAATTCAAATGGGATGATTGTTCCCAATATATAGAAAATTAAAATTCATGTTCCAAACCACCAACCAGTTTTGTGATTATATACCTTCTGGTAATTTGTTACATAACTATGGAAAATCACGATTTAGTTCGTGAATGTTCCCATGAAAAATGCTGGATCTTTCCATAGTTATGTAAGAAATTACCAGGCCGGGTACCATCAAATTATCCATATTTATAGATGGTTTTTCCATGGTTTTTCCATCAAGTCCTGTTTCTTTTCGAAGCGCCGCCGCCAACGGGGTTCCCTTGGGGTTCCCTTGGAGTTCCCTTGGGGTTCCCTGCGCTTTCGCACCAAGGCCCGGCGGAAAGAACCTGATCTGTCTGATCATCCCGCCAAAGGCCAAAACAGGAACCACCAAAAGGAGAGAAGTTTCTAAAAAAAACTCATGTCTTTACATGATTTTACATATCTATCTTTATGGGGGTTATAAATTCATATAAATTTGACTATAACATCTTGTGACTATAACATACTATAACATTTTTTTCACCATACTATAACCATACTATAACATAGAATAACGTACTATAACCATGCTTGCCAAGCACCAAAGATCGAAAATCTGGGAGCCCTGCTATCCAGCACAGTGGCGGAGGCCAGCTGCTTCCTTAACTGCTCCAACTCCCTCTTTCTCTCCTGGGATTTCGCTTCCATGGGTCGAACTGGAGGGTCGAAATGGAGGATACAACGGAGGATGCCCAAAATATCAAAAAAAATGGCTGTTAAATAATAGATAAAATATATATATATCCCATGACGGATCCATGGTGCTGGTATATTAATGCTAACATGACTGGGGTATATTGATGGGATCCATGTTACCATATATGGCATACATGGATCATATGGGTATTAATATATGGTAAAATGATGGTAAAACACATTGATAAACCACGACAATTGGAATGGGGCTCTCCTATTTTCAGACAAACCCAGGACCGAATGGGTATGGTGCAAGCGCCAATAATTTTGGCCTGTACCCAAGTGGAATGGCCAACTAATCAACCTCCACTTCATTTATCAATCATATCGTCCCCATATATTTGACAATAAAAAACAAAAAACAACACTATCATGGATGGCAAAATCTCATTGAAATCCCATCAACAAAACACAGTTAACAATAAAATAGTCCACCCTAGTACCATCTACCAGATTAACATAGACCCTGCCAAATAGCGGATTGGAATGCTACTTTCTACTTTGCTCTAAATATTGCCATGTTCAGGGTCTATATTAATTTGGGGGATGGATGGGGATTGTATATTCCAGAAAAACCACCATAGAACCATTCAAACTGATGGTTCAATCTCATTAAACCAGTTAAAAAACACACACATGATCCTATCACGTGGTTGGGAAACTCTAAGTAGCTCCTTGGCTCCCAATTTAACCAGTTATACACCTGTTACTATGGCCAGTTTTAGGCACTGCTTACCATGCACCAAGGTTAACCAAAAAAAGGATGTCAATAGTAGCCTCACCCACTAACTTCACCAAAAAAAACATGTCTACCATATATGGTTCCAATATATTTGAATTCCATTGATGGCCCTAATATGTGTATAAAATTGTATATTACATATTAATTATATGTTATATATACATATAAGTATGTATTAATGAATATAGATATAAATATATAGCTAGTGGTTGAACCCATCCCTAAAATATGCTCGACATCTCAATCTCAAACAATCATCCCAGGTATGGGTTAAAGACAGTATATAAATCTGTTAAACCCCCAAGCAGTGTATCTACCAAAAAAGATATAGAAGTAACTTCCCACTACAGTATATGCATAGTGATAAAAACACTTCTATCTTTGTGGCTGTGGGGGTTACTATATTACATACGCTATACACCCTCTGGCAATCTAACATAGCTATGGAAGACCACCTTTTAAATATACAAATTAGCAATTTTCCAAAGCTATCTTAGTATGCTGGAGGTTGTATGGTGTAAAAAATATCTAACCTGGCCAAAGAAATAAATATACCCTCCAGTACACTTTCCCTCTGATATATATATAACATAATGTAATATAATATAACATAATATAATATAGTAAAATATAATATAACATAATATAATATAGTATAATATAATATAATATAATTAAATATGATGTGACATGATATGATACAATATAATAGTATAATAATATAATATATAATACAATATAATATAATAACATAACAGAATAAAATATAATATGCTATGATATGATATGATACAATATAATATTATAATATAAAATAATATGATATAATACAATATAATATAATATACTATAATATGAAATAATATAATATAATACAATACAATATAATATAACATAATATAATATGATATGATACAATAT